GGCAAAACAGGAAGGAGGTGTCTGAGGCTGGTTGTATTCCCATATCAGACTATGACATTGGGGGAGAACCAGAGAACTTCATCCAATCGATTGTCGCAAAGCTATCAATCGTTTAGGACCATGGTCCATAACCCTCAAGTTTCCACGCAAAACGCGTGAGGATTGTTGTCAAGGAGGACGATATCGTAAATGCAGCTCGAAGGGGCGGTCATTATGACCTCAAGGGTACTTACACTGCCTTGTCAGCCATTATGAGAGTGGGGAGGACTTTTCTTGTGGGGGTATTAAGGAAGTAATATGTATAGCAGTATCAATATGACTGCCCCAAAGAAGGTAGATAGAAGGATGAAGATATAGGCAAGAGAAAGAGGAAAGGAAGAAAGGAGAGAGAAGAGACGGAAGAAAAGGGAGAAGCAGTTCGAAGATGTCAGACCCGAAAAGGCTTACGGAGCAACTCTTCCGTCATTCGGTGGGACAGAAGAGGGCGAAAGGCGGGGCAGTAAAAGACCATGAGGAGCAGAGTCGTCCGGTCCGGTGAAATAGTTGGTACTTAGTATACATGGGAATCCCACGGAATGCTGACAATTGATTTAAGCAAATCTATTAGCTTTGGAACGATCATTTTAACTTGTCTACAATGCCGATTCGATGTCAATTGTATCCCCTCGATATATTACCTTCAAAGCAAAAATTATCTACAGCCAGTGACACATACATCACTTTTTTTTTTAACAGTACAGTAGCTTGCTTCGGAGATGACGGAGCATTGCAGCTGTACCGATGGCGGGGCACATGGAGGGGCAGAAGCGCTGCTGCAGTAAAGGAAAAGCAACAAAAACCGCCGCAGCGAATGTCCAGGTCGACCCGAAAAAAAAAAAAAAAAAAAAAAGATCAGGTACCTTCGGTGAAGCAGATCCGGGCTCGGATCAAATCATGTCCGACCCTTCTACACCAACAACTTCACCATGGTCCCCTCCGGAATTTTGTCTCTTCGGGCTTATCTGTCGGTAATCAATGTGTGCCCCCGTAGATAAACACTCCCTCCCATTAGCCGTGGGATGATTTAATGAGCTTACGGGATTATTATCCCACTCTTAGGACCGCCTGATCACGTTAATGGTCGGCTATTGCCTGGCCGAAAGAGGAATAGGGTGGGGGTGCAAATCCGTTGGGGCTGATGAGACAATGACGCTAACATGAAAGAAATCCTGACAAAGCCCCTGTGGCTGCACCATGTGTGGCTGAGGAACATCATTTCTCCGTAGATAACTCTATCTCTATGGCAAGCCGGGCGGACCACTTGGGTCTTTTTTTCCACTCCAACGCTTAAGCAAGCCTTGTTCGTCGTTCGCATCTTGATTAAGATCTGGTCAACGTCATTTTTCGAGTTCCACATTTGAACAATCCCGATCCTCGATATCACACATCACATATATTTTTTTTATTCTTAAGTCACGTATTCACTGACCCTTCGGCTCAACTCCATACCTCGAAGGGATATCCAGAACTGAGAACAAGTCAACCATTGCGTGAGATTGCAATACCGCCCAATATTAACTCAGACATCATACAACCCCCTTCGGGACACCGATCTTCTGTCTACATTAGAACTCAGAACCCTTTTCAGGCGTGACGTCTGGCGTGAGACTGCTACGTCGGTCAAGCCCTGAAGGTACGTGTCTGGCTAATTTGCATACGGCGCATCACATCCATCGTCTCTATTCGAACTCTCCATTCATCATGTCCTTTCCGCCACCTCCAGGTCTGAAGCAAACACCGTCTTCGCTGCCACCGCGGCCACCAAACACAGCATCTCCTTCCCCTGCATCGTTTCAGCCCGCATACTCGGCTGCGCCATCATATTCGTCCGCAGGAACCAGCAATGGATATGGCAGCAGCAGCGGGCCTCGGACAGGCTACAATGCTTTCACAGCATTTGCGCCGCGCTCCGTAGCTTCTAGTCAACCCTACCGTACCAGCAGCCCCGTCGTGTCCGCTCCGCCAGCCACCTCAGCCGGATACTCGACTCCCACTACGGCAGGCTACGGTAGCTACTATTCCCAACCACAACAGACATACCAAAGCGGAGCCTCATACTATGGCTCTGCCCAGTATAATGAAAACACATATGGTCCGTCCGTGCCTCGGATTCAGAATCCCTTTCCCGCTGCGGGAGCTGACCAAGCAAACAATTATGGCATGCACGGGAGGAACTATGGGCGCAATGAGTCTGGTTTAGATCCGGAGACAGAAGCACAGATTGCACAGTGGCAAAGTGCCTATGCGAACAGAGACGAAGCACAGGTGGCAAGCAAGGTTCCTGGCCGCCGAGATGGATACGCGGTATCCGCCACCGGCTCCGGTGTCAATACACCCTCCGGCACCGCTACAGCAGCTACCACCCCGGCACCCGTTGCAGGCCAAGCCGAGCCGCAGAAGACCGTTGCCCGGGCTGGTGGTGGCCAGAACTGGACCGACTCGACTCTTCTAGAATGGGACCCCGCACATTTCCGTCTTTTCGCAGGAAACCTTGCCGGCGAAGTCACGGACGATTCACTGTTGAAGGCGTTTGCGAAGTACACTTCCGTCCAGAAAGCCCGTGTCATCCGCGACAAACGCACTCAGAAGAGCAAAGGATATGGGTTCGTCAGTTTCAGCGATGGAGATGACTATTTCAAGGCCGCGAGGGAAATGCAAGGGAAGTATATTGGATCCCACCCTGTCCTGCTCCGCCGCGCCACTACTGAGGTCCGTCCGGTGGCTAACTCAAAGAACGGGAAGAAGCACGGCGGTGGGGGAGGCTCGGGAGGCGGCCACGCCGGAGGAAAAGTCAAGCACGATGGAATCAGAAAGCCTGGAAAGACCAAGGGCGGGCTGAAAATCATCGGATAGTTGCGCAGGTATTAGACTGTATATGTATGCTGAGCGTTGCTAAGATAAAATATAATGATACACATTTGAGTCCTTTATGTCACAGATCATTTCTTGAAAATCGACATCCAGGTCTAGTAACTTCATCTCATTTTCTCATCAAAGGAAATAGATCTCTCTCTCTCTCTCACAAAATCTAATCAAAATATGATACAATCCCATCAATCCACATAAAAAGCATATGCACATCATAACATCATCTCCACGTATCCCAACCAAAATCAATATATAACCACAGAACAAGAACAATACGAATGAACACCATATACTTTTCCAACAAAATCCATAACGGAAAAGCAAAAAAAAAAAAGAAAAAGGAATACCCAGAAGCCACATAAACTCATATCAAGCCATAAGACGTCAACATCAAGATATATATAAAAAAAAAAAAACATAATCCGCATGAAAGTTCCTCGCATGGCAGTCGTGATCCCATAATCAAACCCCGTCTGACCCAAAGTTCACAGGTCGTATGAGTAGCGTAGTGTAGCATAGCTATAATGTAGAAAGTTCGATTCGGCAGTATCCGAGATAATTAAGGGTAAGAGATTCCCATCATAGCGGGTCGGGGGGGGAGGTTGGAATGTTTGTGCCCCGAGTCGGGTCGTCCCGAGGTATTTATGTAGGAATGAATAAATAGTAAGGTTGCGCGCCATCGTTGCGCCGCCAGATAAGGTTGGGTGAATTCAATATTCGGGAGATTTGTCGCAGGACTATCCCCCTTCTTCGGCACTTTCCTCATCAACGGCTCGCTTCTTCGAGAAGAATGATACGTGATTTTGCATGGCGTAGATTCCGAAGCCGGCGATAGCGAGGATAAGGAAAAGGATGATGATGATGAGTGCGATGGCGATGTTCCTTTTCATTTTGGTGATAGGCGATAAATATAGATGCAATTACTTGCCTCGAGATTTAGGATTAGAATGAGGCTCGTCGGAATTTAAGATCGGAGGGATAGAGAAGGACGGATGAAGATCGGATAAATAGACCGATGTTATCGATAAATGAGTTTGACGGGGTGAATTGGCGTTCTCGAAATCCCCAGACGCATTCCAAGGGGTATCAGAGCAAGAAAGGAATGGAATGTATGGGACCTTCCAGTATAAGAGGGAAAATGAGGTAGCACGACGTGGCCCAGCCATGTTGATTTCAGCCCTTTGGTGGTGGCTGGACGGATTGGAGATTAGTAGCTTAGCATATTGGATGGATCTCTCATTAGTTTGGCGGAAACTTAAGAGGGTGTGGGTCGCCATGCACGTGTTGATTGGGTATCTGATACATAAGCTGTCGGGCTAATCGTTAGGAGGTCCAGGTACCAGGGACTTGCTTGGTCCCAGCCTCCGGATTTTTGCCCTAACACGGGATGAGGACTTGCTTAGGCTTCCTGAGGTAGCCCCATCACAGCGGCTGTTTGCCCTGTTTTATAGTCAATAGACCGCTTGGATCTACTGTAGAGTCAGTAGCTCGCTCAAGTGTCGATCTTCGTCAGATTGTAATCTGGAGATTGGCGGTTGTCATGGGCGCAGGTCAAGCGGGAGACAGAGCCATTCGATGATTGTGAAGCTGGCTCTCCTACACGCCCTGTGATATCCACAATGGACTAAATATCATTATTTAGTCTTGCTACTCACTACAGTGTTTCTGTATAAGGATGTTCCTAAACAAATTTTAAATCGTATCCTACCTTGATTATATATACTTCCAGTGTCTGCCACTACCATTGTTCTCCGAATGTTATGAGTCGTACAAAACCTGGCGTAATAAGATCAGCTTTTCGGCTCCATTTAGATCTTCATATAGCGTGGTTTGACTCCTTGAGCTATCTCATTGTCATCACTGCGTCAGTTCCCTGTCTGCAATCGTTTATGGACGGTGATTTAGAAGCCGTTTTTATGTAGAGTAGACCAAAGCTTGGCTCCTTTGAAGTGATATCTTGTGATATGGATATCTGCAAAGCACCACACTGCTCTGTGTAAACAACAAGAAACAGAGTGGCCTTATATGCATAACTTGACGTCTCTGGGAATAACCTATATAAATCCGCTATACATACCAAACAAGATATCGAATCATTGTCCGATCTTCGACTTGAATAACTCCTCACGTTCCTTCATCTTTTGAATGTTCTCATGACCAGCCGCTACAGCCGCTTCATAAGCCAGTCGATAAGTGTGTGTCGCCTCAGTAAACAACGGCCGAACATCCTGCCAACCAGTCACAGCCCTCAACTTCGCGGACCCCGTCCACTGCGGGAAGTCGATCAAAGCCGGCGGCCACGGATTCTCAGCCGATGCCAACGTTTCGGGCTCAACATACTTCACTCCAGCAGTGATACCATATTCAGCAACCAGAACCTTAGCAATCTCATCGACGGTCTCGTATCTCCGCGAGGAGATATTAAAGATCTCCCCCTCTACCTCCTCTCGGCGCGGATGCGCCGCAATAGCGACATAGGCATCCCCACAGTCATCAACATGAAGCGCATGGCAAATGGAGCTAGGCGGTGCCGGTATCACCAATGGGAGCTTCTTCTCCACACTCTGGGCCGCGGCCTCAAAGAACCCCCGGTAGTAGCTAGCCGACCTACCGTAAACATTCGTCGGGCGGACCACGACGGGGGCGAAGACATCCCTGTGCTCGAGGAACTTCAACGAGTGATGCGTTCTATCGGCGAGGATACCCGGGGGATTAAGAGGGCTTTCTTCCGAGTGAGGAGCTAGCGCCGCGTCCCCGTCATAATGAGGCCCTATGCCGTAGTCCTTGCAGCCGGATGAGAAGATGACAATGGGGCGGACGCCGCTGGCTGTGGACAAGGCGCGCAGGAGATGGACTGTGTTGTTGTAATGCGGGATGTAGTCGTTGATGCTTTCTGTGGTGGAGATGATGGCGTCTAATGCTGGGGGAAGTGCGTTGCGGATGGCTTCGTGCGAAGCGATATCGTCGATGCTCCCGATTATGGGGATGATTTCTTCCACGGCTAAGGATGTTGCTGCGGACTGGGATCGCATGAGTCCATATGTGATCCATCCGGCTCGGACGAAGGCGCGGGCCACGGCATTGCCGATGTAGCCATTGGCGCCGGTGACGAGGACGTTGGGCATGCTTGGTGGTTCGGTGTTGTCTTACGGGCCAGGATGAATGCTCCGGAAAATGAGGATTTTCTTGTGAAGGAATGCTCGAATGTCAGCTTCTTATAGATGCGAAAACAGTGGATTATAAATCCAAGGGGACGCTAGTTACAAATCAATGATCAGCGACTGATTAAATGCTGGCTTGGGGCCAAATGGTTGCCATGACCTATGGGCTCTAGTCAGGAGGGGTAAAAGGATTATTACGGAGTCTCACTTAAATCTGGGGACAAATGCACCGGTAATATACGCTCATGAATATCTGTGCTCTTTATTCACCTCATTATATAGACTTGAGTATAATAGACAGAAAGAAAAAAGATCTGAAGCACTCTACGCCTATGCCCCCCTTTTGGCTTTCCTTGTGCTAATCCACTTTTTGATATCCCTTATTCCATGCAGATAAAGCCACGAGAAAGCGTAAACAGCAGCAAAGTTAAACATGACAAATGCCCAGAAGATGCCCTGTTATAAGCAGAAGGGTCAGCTTAACTGGGGGCTATCGAGAAAGGATCAAGTGGAAGTAGAGAAATTCTCGACTTACATAGGCTCTCCACTTATGAGAGTAATATACATTGAAGTTTTTGGCGGCCTTGTAGATAACTCAGTATATGTGGCATGGCATAAAGAACTCGAGAGCAAGGGACACGACTTACAAAAGTATCGCCTTCCGAGTACTGGCAGTAGGAGCAAAGTCCATTCTCCGCATCATGTACGTAGCCTCCAGCTTGCTGCGCAAAGGAACCGGCATAACTTTGGCAAGTCTCCCCTGGCGGCGGACTGAACTGTGACTCTTCTCGCGAGACGCATCGCAACGAGACATTATGTGTCACGACACCAAGGAGGCCTTCCAGGAGGTAGTGGAAAGGTGTGAGCCAGTACATCCAAGACCGCCAGAAGGGGATCAGAGCCATGTACGGGACGACGACTCCGCAGAAGGATACGACAAATATAAAGAAACAAGGGACGAGGAGGGAGGCGAAGAGTTCGTTGGGTGCAAGGGCGGCGATGAATTGGCCGAATCCCACATAGAACATCTCGAAGAGCATTAGAAACATCCAGACATAGCCTGCAGAGAATGAGTCTCGGGGGAACCAGACGCCCCAGTACCTGTTATCTGAATGAGCACCCGTATACTTTGGTTAGGAAATGAAATGCTATATGTACCAGCAATTGAAGTAGATAGAGCCAGCAACAATTGAATACGGGAGTTCGGGGAGAATAGCACTAGTCACAAATGCAACCCATGAATATATCTTGGCCTTCGCCTCGCGGGATTCGTATAGATTCCGGAAATGGAGGAACCGTGGCTGCAGTTGCTGGATTAGCGGTGGCGCTATAGTGAGCGTCATAAATATAGAAAACAATCGAGATTGCATGTCAATATAGCTGTTCCCTAAATGCCAAAAAGTGAAAGTGTTGAATAAACCAGTAAATATGTGTAGAAGGAACTTTCCCTATTGAACTGGTTAAAAACCCGTAAAGGGAGAGTGTGTTGGTGTCCACATACAAGATTGTATTCAGGAGACCTCCAGTAAGCAACAAAGGCGCGTTTTGTCACTGCTAGTACCTGCACCCCGATAGGCATAGCATACTCGCGGCGGTCGTCATCACTGTCTTCCTCCCTCTTCTTGCGCCGTGATTGAATAATACTCTCAATTTCCCCCGTCAATTGCTTGTTCTCTGAGCTTTTGGCCCAGACTTCCGACCAATCTTGGCCTTTATAGTCAGGATTCCCAGCACCGATGACCTCAAGCATGTACTGAGATTTATGTTAGTTTGAAAGCAAACTGGTCCATAGCACATCATTGAGTACAATACCTCTGCAGGGTTTGCGTGGGTTGGACACTTCTTGCCACCGTTCCGTTCGAAGTAACTGATGAGCTTGCTAGAATCTTGCCCCAGCTCGCCATTATAGACAACTTTGCCTCCACTTTGCAGCAGTAATAGGTCGTCAAAGTGCTCGAACAGCACAGCAGAAGGTTGGTGGATCGTACACAGAATTGCTTGGCCAGCATCTGCAAGCCGTCGAAGAAAGCGCACAATATTGAAGGCGGCCAGAGAATCAAGACCAGAGGTCGGCTCGTCCAGAAAGAGCAATAACTGCGGTTTACTAGCCAGCTCAACAGCTATGGTCAGTCTCTTACGCTGTTCTTCACTCAATCCAATGCCCCCAGAGCCAACTGTAGCACCGGCAATTGATCGCATTTCTAGGAGGTCGAGTATCTTTTCGCAGTAGTCGTATTTCTCATGAATGGGTACTTCTTTAGGCTGGCGAAGAAGTGCTGAGAACCGCAGGGACTCTCTCACGGTAGCTGTAGGCTCATGGATGTCCATCTGCTCGGCAAACCCAGTTGCTCTTTGGAAGCTCCTTGGGAGAGGTCTGAGAGAAAAAGCGAGTTAGATAAGAAGAGAAGCAGTGTATATAGTACAAACCTCCCATCAACTAAGAATTCACCGGTAACGACACCGAAGTTTATTCGTTGTGCCAATGTGTTAAGCAGTGTAGTCTTCCTATAAATATTGAATTAGTCAGTGAAATTTCTTCATACTGTCTTGTTCATGTCGGTATAACTGACCCTGCCCCGGAAGCGCCCACTAGAGCCGTAAGGCGACCGGGTTTGACATACCCCTGCACATCTTGTAAAAGTTGTTTCTCTCCACCTTTGTACGGGATCGTATAGTTCAAGTTCCTCCAAGTAAATATTGACGTGCTCTGAGCAATACCCGTGACCTTCTCTCCAGAGTCCTCTGACGTAGATTCATTCATGTTACCGTCAACGCCCTTCTCCTTATTCCCAGTTTCCACGTCCTCTGGGAGCTCCTTATTCTCGAGGGCTCGTTTCACCGTTTCTGGCTCCTCCCCTCTTTTGAATATAGTCGCGGCACTACCCCCTTTGTTGGGCTTTTGAAGCTCCATCCCGAGCATGGTCAACGCAATGAACAGAGCTAACCACGCGATTATGATACCAAAATTGCGCCACAAATGTGACCTACTGTATGTAAATGCGCTCTTGATATAATTGGAGCCTTGAACCATTAGCTGGTTGGCACTACTCCCTTGAATAGCACAGGTTTGGTGTCCAGGTAATGCATTCGGACCATCCGGTACAATACTCGGTGGCACGCATTGAATGTCCATATTATAGAATTCGTTTGACATAACACCTTCAAAAGCGTATTGCACGGGATTAATCCAGATAAGCCATTTTAGCCAGGGATGCATTTTCCAAGGTGGAATAAGATAGCCTAAAGCAAAGTGGTTAGACAGTTGCTTACAAGGACGATCTTTCTAGTCTTGCCTGTATAAACGATGAGTGCTTGGATAGCAACGCCGGTAATACGCGTAGCTTTCACCATGGCATAAGCATTCTTCTTCGTCAATGTAAAGGAGAAGAGTTTAAAGCATACCAATGTCAAGGGAGCCGCATAATGCTCCAATAGTGCGAAAGAAGGAGTACATGGTCATCGTGAGGGTGAATATGAACAGGAAGTTGATAAAGAACTGAGAAGGGGTTCTTGAAAGATTGGCCATGCTAGACAAACGGTTAGTGACCTAGCCATGCGCGTACCTTTGAGTTTTATTGGACGTACAAATATACAATTAGCTCAAACAGCGTAACTTGGACGAATATTATGGGAATATCAACGATCACCTGCGCCAGGGCGAAAGCAGAAGGTCGATAGAAAGAGCTGAGTCTGTCAGCAGTGTCCTAGAATCGAAAGTCATCGTTACACCTACAAGCTCTTGTGTTTTAGAATAACTGGCTGGGTACCGAAAAATGACGTTAGTTCGGCCAGTGCAAGTAGAGCATTAAAGAGCAAAACATAAAACATAACACCCCCTCTGGTGAAAACGCCGGCACTGAACTGGAAATCAGCTGCATATATACCTCAAGCCAAACCCATGCCATACTGACCTTGTCTGGGGCAAATCATAGAACAATGAGCCAGTTATGAGGGCTTGTCCGGTCAAAATCACCCATTTACCTATTAGGGTCGTCTTGTCGCCATACATGATGAGAAATTGACGATGTGTTAGAATAGCAACCTGGTGATAAAACGAAACAGTGTAGTTTTTCTTCTCCGATTCTTTTCTGGCAGCCTCGCGTTCCTCTTTCTGAGATTCTAGCTCTTCCTCAAAACTCTCATTGTCAGCTAGAGTGGCCTTATAGATATCACTCTTGCGGTAGATTTTCCGAAACTCCTCTGCAGTCCGAGGGATTCGATCTTCCCATCCCTGTCTGACACGACGAGCTTGTGGGTCGGTGACTGATAGTAAAAAGTCCGGTGTCGTCCACCTAGGGGCGCACTCGAACCCCAGGCTCTCAAAATAGTGGCGGGCAGAGTCAGCACGGCCGTAGTAGACACATTTGCCCTCTTCTATGAAAATCACCTTATCGAAAAGTTTGTAAAGGTTTTCAGAGGCTTGGTAGAGAGCGACGAGTGTGGAGACGTTTGCCATATCAGTCAGGCTCCTCAAGCTTTGCACATACTCCAGCGCTGTACTTGCATCGAGTCCCTTTGTTGAATTATCCCAAGACTGGGTGGATGCCCGAGTCACCAGTGCCTCTGCAATGGAGACACGCTTCTTTTCACCTCCAGAAATCCCACGTATTAACTCATTACCCACCTTTGTGTCAAGGGCATGCTCAATCCAGAATAGCTTAGCAATGGCAGATAAGAATGTCTCCTGATATTCCTTCCGAGATTCTCCAGGGAGACGTGATGCCTTATTCGGGGTCCGAGTTTTCAAAGCGAATAATAAAGTGTCCCGTACTGTCAAGGTTGGGTAGTGAAGGTCGTCCTCGGGATTGTATAGCACTGAGAAGCTGAGCGGTCTGTCCATCCAGAGGTTCAAACGAGGGAGAGTTATGGCATACCCTCAGAGCGGTACTTGTCCGCCATTGTTTGAGCATCAGTACCTCCATAGCGTACGTCACCTTCGACACTTTTGTATCCCGATCTTTGATTCCCTATTGCTTTCAAGAAAGTTGAGCACCCTGAACCGGGCCGGCCAAGGACTAGCAGCATTTCCCCAGGCCGTACGCAACCCTGTCATGAAAGATGTGAGATATTTGGAGCCCAGCCACCGTACTAGTGACTTACTGTAAAATCACCTATAATGGTCCGCAACGGAGGTCTATTCCTGCCACGAGTTAAAAGACTCTTGATCTTTCGAGGCAAGGCCAGGAGGATCTCGGAGTTCGTCGGTTGAATGGCAGCACCCTATGTCATATAAGAGCTTTGCTCTTTCTTCAGCATAGAGAGTGAGAGATTGCTTACAAGCCCAACCCCCTTCACAGTTAAATGCTTCCATACGACCCCAAGATGTCTCGTCTTTTCTTCGTCGGAGTTAGTCTTTCTCTCGTCACCAAACATTCGCGAAACAAGTCTCATGATCTGGGCCATAGCCTCAGTCCCTCCTTCCGTGTCTTCCTCAGATTCGCCGGTACGTCGCCGAGAGAGTACACGCGCGATCTCATCTTCAGTGAGGCGTCTGTTCAACGATCCTGGCTGACTTGACTTTTCGGTCTCATTAGATCCTGCATTCTGTGCCGGGCTTGAATTTGAAGATAGATTAGAGCTGGAGGCTGACATAGATGACATATCAGGGGCAATGTCTCGAGATAGGTGTCCTCCCTCCATCGTGACGGTGCTATTGATAGTAATTTTTTGTGTCACAAATGATGTGCTATCATTGAGGTTGAACCAGACATTCGTAACAAATGTGCCAAATATAAAGACTAATGAAATGACCAATACTGTATAGTTGTCTGGTGATATATAACTGTGTACGGAACCATAGAAAGTGACTTGAAACGTTATACGATAAGTGCGAACTGAGATAGTACCAAATCGAAACCAGGAAATTCGAGAATAAATACGTCAGGATATTGTATGGAGACAACTATTACGCATAGTGTATATCAGATGTTGAATAGAAACTTGTCTCGCCGTTCATCTCTTCCTTTTTCCTTTTTCCTTTTTCTTTTTTATAGTGGCCCTTAGCCGCATGGTATACAGAGTACTCGGTATATGACAGGTGCGGATGTAATACTACGTCCTTCCGATATGACAGAAGAGCACTCGGACGTTCTGAAGCCCGAGGTTCCGAGCCAGGGTTGGAGCTTGAAGGACAGTTCAAATGCGAGAGGTTCGATGTTCTAATCCATGGTTGTTGATCACTATGAAGTCATTGTCCCTCGATGGCGAATGTTCCATGGCTTCCGGCTCGGTCTTAGTCGGCGGTTTTCTTTTATTTCCGATTACGAACATAACGTGATCGAGAGAAAAAGCGTGATGTCTAATCTGGTCATGGCCTGATATGCACATTTAAATGGCATTCCTGTTGATGAATGTTTGAGTAGACTGGCATGATTCCAAATATCCGACCTCGAAGACAATTTTCGGAAATGCAGCTCCGACTGGGCAGGCATTGAGTTCTCTGTGCATAGTTGAACTATTGAACTTCACTCACTGTGATTAGTGTGATTCACTAACAGGAGAATCCCGTGCTTAAATGAGACTCACGAGCACTTTTCAAGGCATCTTTGATAGATGCTCCATAGATTTAGATTCCAAAGGTCGGAGCTCCAGATGGGAAACCTGGGATGCCAGGCGGTGCCCTAAACGAGGGTGGCGGTGGCCTGTCGTTGTTCTCGTGATTATCAAGAGCCGTCGATGACTGTATCATTTCAGCTGTATTTCATACACAAAGGAACCTCAGGCCTCACTCGGTATAAAGGCAAATAACTCTCAATGGTCGAAGCATGTGGCTAATAAAATCAAGGATGCCACATCGGGTGAAAGTTACCGAGCAAGCGCTCACCTTTTATGGCTGATGCGGCCAGTGTATTTAACTCCATCAACCAAAGGCTCTTTGGATAATCTTCGTTCCAGTGGACAATCTCCGGCGTACCAACCTGAAAGAGGTATACTTCACAATCAGGTAGACTCAGAGTCTAGACGTACGCGATTTATAATACCGTGATACATGTGAGGTAGTGAAGACGCCCACGATGGCAAAACGTCCCAGAAGCCTCCATAAATGGAATATCCGGAGTATCGGGGGACGCTCAAGGCACAAGTTTGGACACCTCAATGGCGGGCGGGCTTTTAGACACACGGGGTGGTCATGATCTTGAAAGTCCATGTCGTCCTATCTTATACCCTCAGCTCTGAATGCCCCAGCGAAGATAGTCTTTTGTTGGTATTTTTTCTTGCTAAAAGTATCAAGTTCTCGTGCACCGAAGTGACCACAATGACACCCTAAAGATGGCCATGACCAGGTTCTAGAGGGGCATTGTAGCTGGACCAAACAAACCACGCATGGTTATTTTATTCAAACATTAGATTGAAGGAAAGATGGCTCTAACGACACTCATGGTGAGATGATGGCACAAGTCGGGAATACGAGTCAGAGTTTGCGCTTCGTTGGTCACTTTCCTATGGCGAAATGGACATGGAAGCCGCGATTGCCATTGGATTCACTATATATTTCTTTCTTTACCTCGAGCAGCTAAATCCAGTGTCTGGCTGTCCTTGTAGTAATGAGACGCTTGGCAGTGATTCATCTCCAAGATATAGTGTTGTTGCACAGCTAAGGGAAGGTCTAGATGTATGGGTACTAACGACCTCTTTAGATTATTACTCCGGATTGAATGTGCAGGATAGTATAGTTGCACTGGAAATGTCTAGGATGAGTTCAAATATACGGACAGTCACATTATAGTTACACATTAACTTGATCAAGTTAGGAAGATGTACAGTAGAATAATCCAAAAATCGAATCCGACCAGGCCGCAATCGTACTATTTTATTTACTGGACTATATTTCGAGCCCGTAACACTGCCTCCACAGTATTCAGGCAAATGTTTCGTTGACATTTAGATTAGGAAGAATGGGCAGCAACAGACTTTTTGAATGTGCTGGCAACATTGAAAGAGTTCATTTGTGACTGTAAGTGGCATGTGAGAAAGTATACAGAGGGTATGAATATGGGATGAATATCCAAAATACCCAACTTATGGGCCTGAGGACGATGGTGGAGGGGTAGGACCCGAGGGTCCAGTGAGATTAGAAACTGTGAGGGATTGTTGAGGGTTCCAGGGCTTCGAGGCTCCAGCGGTCTGGCTTGTTGACGGGCCATTGGCCCCTTCCGGAGCGACGCCTGAATGATGACCATTCATCAGACGTGGGCGCTTGGCTTGAGGCCCTGCGTTAGGACTTCGGGTGACATCATGTGGTAGATATGGAGAAGTCTGTTGGCTAGAAGATGCAGATAGCCCCCCTGTCTGGATTGGTGACGGGGCAGGTGGGCTCATAGCCGCCGGGGGTTGCAGAATTCTTGACCTGGACATGCTTCCCGAGTCATCAACTCGTTTGCTATCCGCAGTACCATGATCTTCCAAGACTGGACTAGAGTGTCCCACCCCGACGCGGCCCATGCTCTTGTCGTGCATCACCACGCGCTTCCACTTTGCTACGACACTATCATAGTCCCAGCGGGAGGAATCGGGGCTGATCTTGCTTTCTTTGGTGTCCAAATCTCGGGCTACATCCCGAGGGAGTGGTAACGTGTCAGGAGGAAAGAGAGCGAACTCCCTTGGCCATTGACATGAGCCTAATCTTTCTACTTGGGCACGAAGTTGATTTGCTTCTTGTTGCACCCGAGCTAGCTGGTCGTCCAATGACTTGCGTTTTTCCATTTCCCGGGCGAAAGCTCGAGTAATCTCAAGTTGCCATGCATCCCGCCTCGTTTCAGAAGGAAGAGAAGCCCAATGCTTGAACGCCAACTCTAGATGCCGCAGACTAATGTCTTCATGTTGTTGCGCACTTCGGGCGATCATGTTCGCATCTAGCCAATAATTGGCCTGCCCGATTGGGAGTTGCTCATAGAGTCGGTAGAAAGTTGATCAGACTGCCACTGATCAATCTTCGCACGAAGTGCTTGTCGAATAATCTCAACATGTTCCACACCAGGAGGCTGGAGCGGGAAGGAAGAAGGCGATGGGAACGGGCTAGTCGCGAATAAGCTTGGAGGTGGGGGTAGCAATTGCAGACAGAGTGAAGGAAACGTCTGCGATTGAATATCGAAATCGAACGGGGATAATCGAGGACGCATTCTTGAACTATTATCCACATAATTGGTCAGTGTACCGAGCAGCTTGAATATCCCATGCCGTGAAGTGGAAAACATACGTTGCAGCCTTGATATTGTCTAGTACTTCCCGCAAAGCCAGCTCCAGAGCCCTCATCGTATCAGGGCTATTAGCGCTAGCGCCTCTGCTCGCATAATCAGGGAGGGGCTTAGGGGCCCGAGTTTGCGAAGCAGAAAACCGTGATGTGCTGGAAACATCGTGTGACTGACTGGGATTTGGAATATCGTTGATGACACCAGTCGCATGCCAAGTGGGGGTATTAAACATCATTCTAACACCGTCGCGTGGCTTCACACCTGAGTCACTCGCATACGGATCCAACTGGCTTTTCCCCATGGTTCGTTCGGGAGTGTCCCGTTTGCCAGACGAGGTGCGAGCCTGTCGTCGAGTGATGCCACTTCGAATGCGCCGGATTTCCTCGACATCATGAACACCATCCGGTTTCTTTTTGAAGAGAAACTGGTCGAGGTGACGGCCCAGGGAAGACGAGGTAAATGCCTGGTGACAATATTGACACTTCCGATCTTTGACAGCTGCATTCTTTGCAGCACCCGACTGCGCGTTATCATCGGCCCCAACAGAGCCTTCCGGGGTATCTGTCGGACGATTAGACGCGCTTTCCTCCATGTTTCACAAAGGATGCAATAGTTGTGGCTGCAGGTAAATGTAGAATCGCGGTAGGACCGAGCGAGACGCGTTCACGAAACAAAGGGTAAATCGCCTTCCAACAATATTACCCAGTTCAAGGCATGACAAGAATCAAGCATGCGTAGACGCTGGCTGTAAAGAGGTTATGGTGGATTATAAGAATGCAAGGGACTCGACAAGCCACAGGATCATCGAATGATAGAGTGGCCAGAGAGGAGAAGAGGAGACCGACCAAAGGGAGAGGAGAGAAATAACGAGGGAACGTGACGATCAACCGACCGCCAAGCTTTTGTTGTGGGGGACATTTCAGCCTCTTATTTTTCCGATTAAGACAAGCAAGCTCCTGGCCACCACTTGAACCGACAGGGAGCATGAATTGAGTATTTATCTCAATGGAAAAAAAATTAGGAGATATATATTCTCTCCCTCCTTGCATCGGAGTGTAACAACTAAGCATACAAAGCAATGCGGAAGCTAGTTGTGACTAGTCACCCGATTGCACTAGTAGTTACCCAGCATACTCGACCAACCGAGGCAGTAGAACGCTCAAGTTACGATAGATTTATCTGATTCACGGATATCAGACCAAGACGAGGGATAGGAACGAGGATACCACTGATATCGACATTGAGAATCCCATCAGCATCATCACTACCTATTCTGCTATCACGATCTGCCCCCGCATTCTCGAGCACTAGACCTATAGCTTTGCCAAAGCCAGATATGCCACTTGATTCTAGCTAATTTCAGACTGTAAGCGCACCTCTTGGCTGATGTAGTCTGCTAAGGTCAATATTTTTTCCTCCTCCAGTCGCCGCCCAACTAATTGAAGCCCGGCTGGAGCACCATCGTAAGCTTCAGGATCATCTATCAAGGCGTTAGTAATTCCAGAGCATGTCAATTTATGCAAAAATCTCACATTGCTCATGAACTGTCTTGTCCACCTCACCCAGGAAATCATCCTTCGGTTGAGGCACATCAACCTTTTTGTCTGCATGGGTGACCGGGAACACGACGCTGGTGTAGTCCAAGACGTTAACGAACGCGGTATACCCAACATGGGCATACTTATGGGGGATTACTGCAGCGTGTGGCGCACATGGGCAGATTACACCGTCGACAGGGCGCCCAGTACCCGTTATCTCCGCTGTACTGTTCCAGTAATCCATGTAAAGCTTCTGATATTGCCGCTTCTCCACATTGAGTGCAGCAATTTCTAGAGCACTCAGGTGTGGGATTCCCTCCCCCACAATACATTGGAGAGATTTTGGTTCTCCCGATAACCCAAGGTGGTGTGCTATGTCCGCTCCACCATCAGCCACACAGACCCTACCCTACTATTGTCAATATCACTAACATTAGGTAAAATAGACAGATTAGGAACTTACAAATAGGTCTACGGCAACATGGTGGGCAGGCGGATTCCACTCGATCAACTAGGGTATATGTTAGTATATAGACCTTAGTATACCCCTTGACTCTTCAAGGTTTATGTTACCTTATGGCCTAGTCGCTTCAAAGTTTGTTCGACAATCTCGACAGCCCTCGCTATGGGTGGATGAGGTTGGACCATGCCATCGTGGCGCATAATAGCAAATGCAAGAGAAGGAGAACCCTCAGTTGATTTTCTTATCAGCGCTCGAGTCCTCTCTTCAATATCTGCCCTCCAGGGCAGTTCCAGCACGAGTGGGTCATGGTACCATGGCTGTTGACTGAGCACAGTCTTGAACAGAAGTGTAAGAGAACGTGCGGTAGTTGCAAGTGGCCCAACGACCGACAACATCAAATTCTGGCCATCAATTGAGTTTGCAGCGCCCTCATAGGGCATTCTCCCAGATGATGGACGGATTCCAAAAAGTCCGTTGAACACAGCTGGGATACGTATGCTCCCGCCGATATCAGTTCCAAAGCCACTGGGAGATCCTTTCAAAGCGATCAGTGCTCCTTCACCACCCGAGCTACCTCCACTGGATAGAAGTCGATTTTTAGGATTCCATGTATACGAGATAATGTTGTTGACGGTTTCACCTGTCATCAAAGTTGCAGGCACACTCGTCTTGCAGTACAGTACCGCTCCAAGATTCCTAAGCTCCTTGACGAGTTCACTCTCGAATGTGGCCCGCCTCGGATCATCCTTCTTGCCTTGGAACGTTCAATCCATCCTATGTATCCCATCGTCGTCTCGACACCTTTGACATGGAATTGATCCTTCAAACTGATCGGCAGACCGTGCAGCGGTCCGATCGGTTTCTTATGCTCGGCAAAGTATGCATCGAGTCTTTTTGCATCCTCGATTGCAGCATCGAAGAACACCTCATGCAGACAGTTCACCTACAGTAGTCATTGAGTACCGTGTCAGACATAGTGAGAACCGACATGAAAACATACAAGCTGATGAGCAAGGGCAGCCCTGTGACAAAACGCCTCGGTCACTTCGACAGCAGTCCAATTACCAGACGTTGTCTGCTCAGTAATCCCCGCCGCATCAGTCTCAGTGATCTGTATTTCTCGTGGAGTCAAGAATTGTTGAATATAGGCACCGGTCACATCACGAAGTTCATCCGCCGGGGGAATAGGATTCTGAAATCTCCACTTGGCGGGAATCGCCCCCAAGATGGATCGGCGTTTGAGGTCCCCCAACTGTCCATAAGTGGTGTTAGTCATAGCCAGTACTACTGTTAACTAAGCGAGTGGGGGTTCAAACTAAGGGGAAGGTGGGAGGTATATTATGTTGCGCTATGAAACGCTTCGAAGGAAGCTTCATAGAGAACGGGGGGGCGCTTAGTTATTTAAAGTACTTGTCTTATCGCCCCTATGCACTGTTATGACGGCTAATGGGATAACCAAGGAGGAGACGGTGCAACGCGCCAGTCACGGCGGCCAGTGCTGTTTTGAGCTAACTTGATGGTGGGGTTGCGGGGCAGATTTGTATCTTTTATTAATTCACCGTCTGTATTGAAATGCAATGGTACAGATTGAGTTATGTCTTACGCAAACCATTTGAGGTCTCTTTCAGTGCCGGCTTAGCCAAAATTTATTCATTTCGTTACGTATGGACCTCGGTTAATCGGTTCTAAGCCATATTTGACCTGGACCATCATGGATGCGCTTGTATACAAATATCTACATAATGTAAAGTCTAAACGTATCAACGCCAACGATCATCAAATTCCGTTATACGTGTAGGTGAACCCACCTGAACGTACTAAAGTCATCAGACAGCTACCAAAGATGTCCATCATCCAACAACCGGAACATCTGGTGATTCTCATGGAACCAGTCTCCCAGCTCCATGCCCGTTAAGTCCATTGCCATATTACTATTCAAATCAGTCTGCACGAGCGCGGGAGCGTACACACCGGGACCATACCCAGGCATTTGTGTCAATAGCTGCTGGCCACTATTGACCCACGGGTTAGACAAACCAGCCTCTGACACACTGTGTAGAACTCCCGTGTTAGAAGAAGCCTGGCCCGAGTTCATCGATGGTGACTGGAGAAGCATGCTAGACCCTATGGCATTATTGTTTGCATTATAAACACCCATGCCGTTGCTGCTTGGTACATTCATTCGTACTCTGGGAGTGTTGGCCTTCACCTCCACGTACTTTCTCGCTACATCATATAAGGCTCGGAAAAGGCGGACCTGGTTTCTGGAACCTTTGTAAGTTACTGTGGAACGGATTGACTGTAGTACCTCGACAAACGCGCCGAGACGTTTCAGGTCGTCGGGCTCAGATGTCTCGACAATGTAGCAGAAAAGAACTATGAAAGGAAAAAAAGGAAATTGGAGTAGGGTCCTGGTCAGATATGTTAGTAGTTTAGTTGGTTTGCCATTATGACAAACGACTAACCAGTTGATGTACATTTCCAAAAAGTCTTCATCCCACGGGCGACTGAGAATGAGGGCAACACATTTTTCATGCTCTTTGAGAGCTTCCCGTGCTGTAGCTATGCATTCATCACAGAAGGCGGTTCCCGATGGTTTCTCAGGAGGGATTGCCCGATAGATGAGTGATAGTAGAGATAGATTGCAAACCCTATCTGAACGCTGAATAATCTGGTGGAGATCGTCTCCGATAGCCCGGCGTCTTTCGTTATTATATCTTCTCTAAAATGATGCATTAGTATGAAAAAAGAGGTTATGATCAAGCCTTTGAGTTCAACATAGGTATAACACTAGCATTATTATAGTGGTGGAGAAAAAAGGCGGGAGCTTACCTCCAACTCATCTTCGGAATCCATGAGTTTCTTTACCTCGGTCACCAGGCTCCTTGCACGGGAGATTCTGGTATCTACCGGCTGCATTAGAGCACTAGGGCTATAGATTTCGTCGTATGTCCTTCCTTGAATTTTCGCTAAATCAATCCACTTAGGAACTAAAAGTGACTCCATGCTCTGGTCGAGAGAAGGCCGCGGTGCCGTGATGTCTTCATCTCGAAAAGTTGACGATCGACCCAGTCGTAGACACAATGATTTCTCCATGAGAAACACGGCCCAAAATAGGCGAATCTTTTGGCTCTTAGTTTCTGGGTTGTCTGTGCTTAGAGCGTGAGCACTATGGAGGCCGAGCGTTTGACACAGATGGGCTGCTGTGGTAATAAAACTCCATGATACTGATGGCTTGGCCATTTGAAGGCAGTATGTTGCCTTGGGGTAAATTTAGGATATGCACTTATTGGAGTAAAGAATGGGGGGGAGTGGGGCGATGATGGGCGAAAAGGTTCGTTAGCTTACTGCAACATTCATAGCAAAGACAACATCAGTGTTGACCGGCATGTGGAATGGGAGATTTGACAAAACTGTCTCGAGATTATCCCGGCATATCATAGCCTGACACATGTAGTTTTCCTTAACTTTTTGATCTACAAGCAGGCTAGCGCACTCGCAGTAAAGCCAGTAAAGGCCCCCGTTCACTATGATCATATCAGCATCTGTGGCTGGCCCAGGTGAATAGACTCTCAAGAAGTAATCGTTGAACTGCGAAATAGAGAGCAATTCGATGAGCCAGAAACGCTGGATTCTGGGTTGCTCTAACCGTGTTGTGGCAAGTCAGTTAGCAGCGCAAGAATTATGGATATTATGGGCTGCACCTTTGGCCATCCGCAAGCACGAAAGAGTCATTTCAACTGGGGGTAGAGGAAGTTGTCTTATACTGGAGCCCTGGGGTATTGGTTTGGCATATGGGTAAAGATTTTCAAGGGTATCCCTTTGCTGTTTCTGGTCGTCAACTATGCCATGTAGAGTATCAAGAATTGAGGTCATCTCCTGCGCGATCTGGACAGAGTTTGTGCTGCTAACCACGTCTTGGAGGTACCTTGTTGCAAAAATGGCGTGGGCAGACAGCGACGTTCCGCCTTCATATTCAGTTTTGGAAGCTACCGCACAGCTTCTTAACTCATTATTGACTCGAGGCTGAGATACAAATGTTGGACGAGTATCCAGGTCCCGTTCATCTACAGGAGATGGTTCGATAATCGCAGACTGATGGGAGCCCGACGGGATGAATGAAGCATTGCTCAATGTGGCCACCTTCTGGCTGAGTTCATCCAGCTTCTGTACCATATATTCCATTCTTTGTTCACTTATTGATACTACGTGAGTACTCAGAAAAGAGAAGGTTATATGGCGGAGAACGTACTACTGGGCCGAAATCAAAACCCTTTGCCTTTTTTCTCTCGGTCTGAAGCGGCTTGAGTACATACATCGAGTCTTTGCACGAATGCATTGTGAGCAGGGGATCGAGCGATCACAGCGAATCTAGAAAATGAAAGGCAGTATTTGAGTGACTAGCTCTACAGCCATAGGGTATGTTGTGAATGTGGCGCCTCGTACCTTTCGCTGTCGACAGCGGTTACACTAGCATGGGTCAACAAGCGATCTGATAAAGTTTGTAGGAGTAAACTCGTACAGCTCGTGCCTGGCACTCTAGCGGCCTTTCATGCTCTTCTTTCTGGGGGTTATCCATCGCGGAGACGTCATCAGTCACGAGGTCATCAGTATCTCCCTCCATCTGTGCGGAAGTGATAAAACTCGGAGCAAGAGGCTTTTGGAGGAGCTATTAGTAGTATAATGTAGATCATAGGAACTAGCTTGCTAAGGGGCAATGGACCATTCAATGAAGCCTAGAGTATATAGGACTTGTCTACTCCGTAGTACTATGTTGGTTAGTGGGCCGGGCTCGCGGGATGCCAAGGACCCGCACTCCGACGTCCGGTAACGGGGTCTTGGCATCCCGCAAGTCCGTCTAACAACCTAATGAGTGTTGTTCTGAGAGACGATGTGCTGTAGAATCTTACCATTGTGTCCACATGCCAATTCAGCCACTGCAGCATCTTCTTCGTTGGATACGACAATTGGCAGGGACACCCTTATCCCTCACTGTGACCATTTTCTTTGACTTTCTGGTCCGGCAACTATGTTATCTATCCATGGGTGCTTAGTGTCACAGCTAAAGATGACTGCGTGGATCTGAATCATACCAACATATATAAATCTAGAGAGCCCCTGGAATGCTAGTAGTCTGTACATAAGAAATCCAAAGGAATTCCTTCCCATTCACTATGGTTGTACGCTTATGAAACGTGTCTTTGTCTATTCTGTTCATATAATTACCGGTATTTGTCCAGCCATGACAGATTCATCAGTAATGGAGAAACCAGCTGTTGGTTCCTCAAAATTTCCAGTCACGGATAATCAAAGTCAACATGAGGACATACAGAGTCATTCCACATTCAAAAGTTTTCTGGTATGATATGAGCACTTCCTCATTAATGGTCACACATGTCTTTACTGAACACGATTCATAGAGAGTCTTTACATTCGGCCGGCCCATTGATTATGTCCTCGGATTGATCAGCTTGCTTGCTTCAATCGGCTCTGGCGTCGCCTTGGCTATGGTGAACCTCGTGTTGGGCAAGTTCATGACGCTTCTCAGTGGTTCCACCTTAGGCACTAGTTTTCCAGACAACTTTATGTCACAAGTCAGCAAATTCTCGTGAGGCTCTATGCCCCTGATACATGAAATAAGCTTCTCTTACTCAGGACTAACATATGCTGTTTATTTACAGTTTATACTTTGTCTACATCGGAATAGCCAGGCTAGGTTGTACCTACATTTACTCATCGCTCCTCACATACGTAGCCTACCACTTGACTAGAAACATTCGATACAAATACCTTCGTGCGGCCTTCAGTCAAGAAACGGGGTACTTCGACCAAGGTTCTAGCGGCTCAATATCAACGCAAGCCACATCCAATGGCAAATTAATCCATTCTGGAATCTCAGAGAAACTAGGAATCTTCATCCAAGCAATTGCAACGTTCATAGCAGCTTTCATCATTGCCTTTGTCAGTCATTGGAAGCTGACATTGATCATCTGCTGCATCGTTCCGGCTCTAATTGCCGTTGGTGGGGGGCTTTCCTTCGTTGATGCTGGATACGAGACGAACATTCTTAAAGTCAACGCGCAGGCAGCTTCATATGCTGAAAATATTCTCAGCGGTGTTCGAGCTGTCCACGCGTTCAGTCTTCGACCCAGGATTATCCACAAGTATGAACAATACTTACAAAGTGTGTTTGAAATTGGTATGAAGAAGAATCCAGTTTATGGCGCCATGTTCGGGTCCGAATACTTTATCATATATGCTGGAATGGGTTTAGCATTTTGGCAAGGGATTCATATGCTCGCCAGAGGGGATATTCCGGACATTGGTACCGTCTTCACGTATGTCAGACTTTCTCTCTTAGCTTTGGTCAAACAGGCATCCTATTATCCTCTGCTAACGCACGAAAGTGTCCTTTTCTCCGTGGTTATTGCGGCGAGTACCATTACGTCCATCGCGCCTCATACAGTAACATTTACACGTGCAGCTAGCGCAGCTGCAGAGTTATTTGCCTTGATTGACAGGAAATCTGAGATCAATCCGCTCGACGAGTCCGGAGACAAGCCGCAAGATACATGTGGTGTGATAGACATTGACCATATTACCTTCAATTACCCTAGCCGTCCAAATGTTTGTGTGTTAGGGGACTTCTCCCTTCATGTCCCGGCAGGGAAGGTCACCGCCCTTGTCGTGAGTTACCCACCTTCTCATCATATACGAGCCAGGAGCGTGCTAACCCATACGGCAAAACAAGGGTGCTAGTGGGTCTGGAAAAAGTACAATCGTTGGGCTTTTAGAGCGATGGTATAAGCCGTTGGCTGGCTCACTAAAGTTAGATGGGCGAGATATCGCACAGTTGAACCTAAGATGGCTTCGCACAAACGTCCGCCTTGTGCAACAGGTGACTAGCAGCCTCGTGCATTAAACAAATCCAAGGCACGGCTAATATGAGTAAGGAACCGGTCCTATTCAATGGAAGCGTCTTCGACAACATTACGAATGGCCTTATTGGTACACCATGGGAGACCGCTCCATATGAGGAGCAGCGCAAACGCGTGGAAGACGCAGCTAAGCTTGTATTTGCACACGACTTCATTATGAACCTTCCGAATGGCTACGATTCGCCAATTGGTGAAAGAGGAGGCCTTTTATCGGGTGGGCAGAAACAAAGAATTGCCATTGCACGCAGCATTATCTCTGAGCCAAAGATCCTCCTCTTGGATGAAGCTACTAGCGCTTTAGATCCACACGCCGAGGGTATAGTACAGCAGGCTTTAGATCGTGCTTCCAAGAACAGAACGACCATAGTAATTGCGCACAAATTGGCCACTATCCGCGGTGCGGACAACATCGTTGTGATGTCAAAAGGGAGAATTGTCGAGCAAGGTCAACATAGCGAGCTAGTTGCCAGGGGTGGTGCATATGCGAGTCTAGTCAAGGCACAAGATCTATCAACAACACGATCGACAGATGATGAGGAGCAAAGCACTGAAGACGAGACACCTCGTAAAGAGGCTGAGCCAGTCCAGTCTCTTGCTCGGTATCAAACGGCCGAGGCACGGCAACTGACAATGCTCCAGCGTCGCGAAGACTTTGGACTATACAAAAGAAGCGGCATTCTTCGCAGTATAGCCAAACTGGTCATTATTACACCCAAGCTGAGACTCTGGTACTTCATCACTGTAGTCTGTTGCGTGGCAGGAGGTAAAATGTGATACTTCCACTATTGTCCATTGAATTGGCTAACTCTCTTTTAGCTGCCATTTTCCCGGGGCAAGCGCTACTACTAGCTAATGTTATGGACATATTCTCCGCCCCGAACATGATTGAACGCGGTAACTTCATTGCCCTGATGTATTTTGTAATGTCGCTCGGTTGTATCGTCGTTTACTTCGGTCTAGGCTGGGCCACAAACATTATTGCACAGGTACGGCATCATCTGCCCTGAACATGGCCTTCTCATTAACTCAAGCCACCAGACTTTCAACAAAATGTTCCGCCACGACCTCCTGGACTCCATGCTCAAGCAGGACCTCCGGTTCTTCGACCGACCTGAAAACACCGTTGGTGCATTAACAAGTCGGCTTGACTCGCATCCACAATCCATTTTAGAGCTCATGGGTTTTAACATTGCCCTTGTCTTTCTCTCGGCAATCAACGTACTTGCGTCTAGCATACTCTCTCTAGCTATAGCCTGGAAGCTAGGCGTAATGGGCGTCTTTGTCGGGTTACCGCCTATGTTAATTGCAGGCTATGCGCGTATTCGCCTTGAAACTAAGATGGATACGGATATGGGGAAGAGGTTCTCTCAGAGTGCTTCGCTGGCGTCGGAGGCGGTACTTTCTATCCGAACAGTCTCCTCGCTCGCTATGGAGGAGGATATCTTGAATAGATACACCAATGAGCTAGATCAGGCGATTCAAACATCAATCCGCCCTCTGTTCAGTATGATGGTGTGGTTCTCCCTAACTCAGTCCATTGAGTATTTTATCCTTGCATTAGGATTTTGGTATGCTTTTTCCTTATACCCCTTCTTCATTTGTCTCCAGTACTCTTATAAGTATGAGTCTTAGGCTGATCATGATTCCAGGTGGGGTTCCAAGTTGATCCATGACGGAGATATCACGTTTTACCAGTTTATCGTCTCTTTCATGGGTGTATACTTCTCCGGCCAAGCCGCTGGCCAACTCTTCAGCTTCTCGAGCAGTTTCACGAAAGCTAATGAAGCGGCAAACTACTATTTCTGGTTGACAAATCTCTCCCCCATGATCCAAGAAACAAAAGAAAACCGAGGCAACGGACCTTCAAATAAATGTCAGGCGATTGACTTCCAAGATATCCAGTTTTCCTATCCTCTAGCACCAGAAACCCGTGTTCTGAAGGGTGTGTCATTTAACGTACGTATGGAGTCTGTCACTTCTTTTCTTCCAATTTTATTATCACCACACAAAACTAACATTGTTATGATGTTTCAGATTCAGAAAGGCCAATTTGTAGCTCTAGTAGGTGCCTCCGGCTGCGGTAAAAGTACGATGATCTCGCTGTTAGAACGCTTCTACGACCCAACGCAAGGCACCATCAGAGTCGATTCTTCCCCGCTTAACAGTATGAATCCAATTTTATATAGACAACAAGTCGCTCTTGTGCAACAGGAGCCAACATTATTTCCGGGAACTATATTAGAGAACATCTCATATGGGCTGGACATTGCACCACTGGGACCAGCTGGTGCTCCAAGCTCCGAGGTCGAAAACGCTTGCCGGGCAGCAAATGTATGGGACTTTATCTGCTCGTTGCCGGACGGACTCCAAACGCCCTGTGGAACGAGTGGTAGCCAGCTTTCTGGTGGACAAAGACAGAGAGTTGCTATTGCAAGAGCCTTGATCAGGAATCCTCGGGTAATACTCTTAGATGAGGCGACAAGTGCGCTCGATACAGAGTCGGAGAGAGTTGTGCAGGGGGCATTGATGCAAGCTGCGACAAGTGGGGAGAGAATAACAGTTGCCGTCGCTCATCGGCTTTCGACGGTTCGGGAGGCAGACTGTATCTTTGTGTTTCTGGGAGGCCGGATTGTTGAGTGTGGTAGGCATGGTGAGTTGGTTGAAAAAGGTGGTATTTATGCAAAGATGTGTGAGGCGCAGAGCTTGGATTCGGGGGCGTAGACTTACCTTTATACTTAATCTGGTCTTATAGGTTCTTCGATTATTTTTTCCACAGTTTTCGGTTAATAGTATTTCTCCATATTGAATAATGCACAGCTAACAGTCTCTCATATTGCTACAAGCACCATACGCATAACTGTTCATTCCACAATATTTTCATAGTCTTCCCCAAACGTCATATACTATATTGGCTTGCGTCTGCCGCCTCAGCTATCCTCTACCAAGCCGTTCTATAAAAATGGCAAAGCTCCACAGAAATCATCCACCCCCAATTATCTACTAACATAGCCACCTGGGCATCGCATTTTCGTAGTCTCTCTATATGCTGTTCGAGAATGCTGGTTAAAGAAGGATTTGCAGTGCTACTTAAAGACAAAAGTCAATCCTTGATGCAAAAGTGGATCTATTCATATATGCGTACCAAGTAAATAACCCCCTGAATATCTATAGTAAAAATTGCTGTGTTAACCTGAGACCATGCTTCATCTTTCCCTTGTGCCTACATCATTTCGTGACACTAGGTCAAGTGTGGGTATTTGTGACCGTCATTTGTCGAACGTTCAAATTGACTCTCTTGCCTGACATCCAACCCTTCCACTTGTCGTATTTTGAAGTATCTGCATCATCAACAGCGCACAATGGCCAATCAGCCAGCCATTCCGGACATGTTCCAGGGACGATCTTGGGCACAGCATGCCATGCAAAACGTGACGTGCCGTCCATATACACAGCATCTCCAGAGCGAAGTCGAACAATTTCACAGCCCTTCCCATCATCATGACTGATGAGGAACAGGCCATCACAGCCAAAACTGATACTAATTAAGCCGACATCACACTCTTCACTGACATCCCGATGAGGGCTCAATGTATCTCCCGGCGAGTAGAGATTTAAAATGGCTGCCTGGGCTTCTGTCTGTGGAAATGCTGCATGTAGAACACTTGCGACATCTTCTGGAAATGCCGGTGGGCACTCCGCCGGATACTCTTTGGTAGTCCAATTATACTGACCGCCCAGAGTTGCCCATCGGAGCTTTTTATTTAGAATTTGTTGAATAGTCAATGGCTTGTGTATGCCTGGATCCTTCGGGTAGACCACACGAGCCGGATCGTCTTCGAAGAATGACAGGACGCCATTGCCTTCTGAGCCATTACCCACCGAGGGCGTCGACATGCCACACTCATTGGGAGCATGTTCCGCTTCGTCAGGGTAGATGATGTTGTAGTGTAGATGAAGGTTTGTTCGATGCTCCTTGTTAGACAGGTCCCTATGTAATAAACGAGACAACAGCTCTACTTGTACCGCCGGAGGGAGCAATGACGGGATCATTTGCAAACCTACCGCTTGTTAGGAGCTGATTCTGTTATGACTTAAAGGCATTAGGGCATGATGCTGACCAGAAACGGACTGATGTGTATATACTGGGATATCTTTAACAAGACTATCTTCATCCTTTTGGCTTTCTCCGTATGTACGGACAAGTTGGTGGAACACTGGCTGCACATGTGCACCCGGCATCCATTGTGCGAGAGATATGTCGCTCGGAAGCTTATCGGGGTTTAGACCTTGGAGATCAATAATTTCATGATCCAAATCTATATCCGATAGTGTAGCTTTTTGGATCTCTTTATAGCGGTGACGGATGGCCTCTGGTGCGCGTTCATGAGCATTGAGTTCTTTAATGTGAGCCATAACGAGAGAGAGTTATATGCAGTATAATAATCAGTGAATCAGTTCACTGCATTTAACATTAGTCCCAGTATATTAGTGCGCACTATCTCAAAGCCACATATATCCTCGACTTGCTACCGATAATTACACATGTGAAATCTCGGCATCTATTGGAAGATATGAGGAATTCTCATTTGTCTGGAAATGTATTTTATGTACCCCGTATGGATATCTACATCCAGAACAAAAACTCAAAAAAAAAAAAGCTGGTGTTCAAGTTACTCACCGCCTTCGAACGCGGGTTTGTTTACTGTTGTTGATATCATTTTGACCGCCTTCGCTCCCCACCACAGAACGGGCATGAAAAGACTCCATTGAAGTGACCCATCGATTCGACAACGCAGGTTTTTCGGAATTGGCTAGTCAAAACCTTTGAAAGCTTGAGATTGGAGCTTAGCTGGCGATCAGTCTGCATTTCCCGTAGCTGTTGACTACTATCCCTTCAACCAACGCGCAGCTACTTGACGCCAACCAGAAAACCCCCGTTTATTGTGGTGCTTCTCGCTTCTTCCCTGGGAAACACAACGCTGTCGTTTTGCAGTACATTTCTGCTTACTGCCCCGCGCTCCGGTGGTTCAGGAGAGACAATTAACTTAAGATCCTTCGCCTGAACCAAGTCTGTAGCACTATCCTTCGGGTACCACGTAGTCGCCATGGAGAACTACCAGAAGATCGAGAAAATCGGAGAGGGTAAGGTTCCGAAGAATGGCCCTAGGCGTTGCAACCCTTGGCCACCCTTTAGAATTGAAGCTCTTCAATGGCTGACTTGTGTTCATCACTAGGAACCTACGGTGTTGTTTACAAGGCCCGTGAGCTCACACATCCTAATCGCATTGTCGCCTTGAAAAAGATTCGGTTAGAGGCAGAAGATGAAGGCGTTCCAAGCACAGCCATCCGTGAGATCTCCTTGCTGAAGGAAATGAGCGACCCCAACATTGTACGACTCCTCAATATTGTCCATGCGGATGGCCACAAGTTATATCTCGTTTTTGAATTCCTGGACCTGGACCTCAAGAAATACATGGAGGCCCTACCTGTAAGCGAAGGCGGGCGTGGCAAAGCACTCCCGGATGGCTCTGCACTAAGCAAGAGTATGGGACTGGGAGATGCCATGGTCAAGAAGTTCATGGCTCAGTTGATTGAGGGAATTCGCTATTGCCACAGCCACCGTATCTTGCATCGGGATCTCAAGCCTCAGAACCTCTTGATCGACCGTGATGGCAACTTGAAATTGGCAGATTTTGGACTGGCAAGAGCATTCGGTGTTCCTTTGAGAACATACACCCACGAGGTTCGTATACTGAAACCAATCCCCTTATTTTACATTGACATTGACCCTTCAATCTTAGGTTGTCACACTGTGGTATCGCTCCCCCGAAATCCTCCTGGGTGGACGCCAGTACTCCACTGGTGTTGACATGTGGTCTTGTGGAGCTATCTTTGCAGAGATGTGCACTCGAAAGCCTCTTTTCCCTGGAGACTCCGAAATCGATGAAATCTTCAAGATTTTCCGGTATGTTGACCCACTTGTCGAGGATGATTGAAAAAAAGAAAGGACGTCGCGATCTCTGATTACTTTCTCTACACAGACTCCTTGGTACACCGGACGAGATTGCCTGGCCTGGCGTCACCTCTTTCCCCGACTATAAGCCCACCTTCCCCAAGTGGAAGCGTGAAGAAACCCGCGCACTGGTTCCTGGCTTAGAAGAAGACGGCCTTGATCTCCTGGACGCCCTCCTCGAGTACGATCCAGCACGGCGTATCTCTGCCAAGCAGGCTTGCATGCATCCATACTTCCAGCACGGTAGCTCTTACTATTCCGGTCGCACCCGCAGACACTAAGAGAGACCTTTATCACGTGTAATGTGTTCGTGGACGGCTGCAGCAGACTCAGAGGCGCTATCCGTATAGCGTAACAGCGCTCCTGTTCTCTCTTCCTCTACTGCCTCCCCTCAGAATACCTTCGACGCTCTTATGTTTCTCTTTTTTTCTATTCACTTTGTCTTCTTTTAATTCTACATCTTCCTTTTCCGATTGATTTGCGGTTTATTAAATGTCTTCCATTCCTTTGTTCATGGCGTTAATCATGGTGCGATGACCGGCAGGAAAGAGATTAAGGTTACTGGATATTGCAAGGAGTGTTGTCTTGATGTATGCATACATACCCATTTATAAATCTTTTATATATTCTGTAAGACTCGAGAGGTACAGCAAAGAAGGATTGTGCATAACTACTCCGTGCCACGTGCTGGATCACGGGTCTGGAATGCTTTTTTGGTCTTTGTCCAGCGCGGCCCAGGCAATTGGCCAGTAAAATAACCTTCGCTCAGCCTCAGCGATTCCTTCGCCTTGGCCTAATTTTCTTCTGACGCCCGTGTGGGTTTCCTCGAGTGGGGAAATCCAGAATTAACTCAAGTGTCACTTTCGACATCCCCTCGCTTATCGCTATACTAACTAGTTTAGTGGTAAATTGTCGCCCAATAACATGAGTCACTACTTTGTTTTTTAGCTCTATTAGACCAACTCCAACGTTTGCTAATGGGGGTTTACAGAATTGCACAGCCTCCATAGAGTAACTCCGGTCTAGGTTTGTCGACTGGCCCAGCCTGACAAGGCTCGCCAACATTCCATCGTTGGCTGTGTTCTTACCTTGGGAGCAGTGCAGTCATTCCCCTGCATATGCACCTTTTATTATTTGCCACTCATATTACAAGGGCTTTATTATGCGCTTACTCCGGTATGGAGTTGGTGGACATGCTGCATTCGAAGATGGCGTTTCGGCAGCCTATAGAGCGGCCAAAGCCCGTTCAGCTGCCATGCTTCGATAGGTACGGCGATACCTCCTATTTTGAGCATGCCAAATGGGGGCCAAATCCAAGACTCGGGAGCTCCGTTAGCAAGGGCCGTCAGCCCGTTGACTCAAACGGTTTAGAAAGTGTTCGGCATAAGCGCAGCTTGCATATCATTCGCTTATGCTCCGAATCGCTGAACTAAAGAAGACAAGCTAAACCCTGCGATTGCGTACAAGGCGTCCCAGGCTAATCTTTAGATTGCATATCTCGCGACACCCTGATTGGCTTACTCGTCATTTGTATTAAAAGGCGTACGACGAGAGAGGTCCAGTTCACGAACTTTATCAGTCTGATTCGCTCAGCCTCAGGTATCGACACGAGGTGGCCGTGTGAAGCCTTTGTTTCAAGGCTATCCTTAGATTGCGCCTTATTTTTTCCTTGCTTTTTACCTTTTTCTTACCTCTCTTAAATTTCAAGCTGAAAAGAGTCTCGTTTCGACGTATAAAACCCCTTTAGCTGTATCGGTCATCCTCAATGCTGCCACCAAATCTCAAAACTCGTCACAACCCCACCTGAAGCTATTAGCCAGTAGGGCCCAGAAAAGGCTCGCAAAAATGGACCACGACGACGATCTTACCGACATGGTTTTCACACCACCACTTTCAACACGCTCAGGGGGTCGAAAGCGAAGGGCAAGTCAAACGCCGCAGGAAACCCTGCGACAATTTTGGAATCAGTTTAATTCGAAATTCCCGGGGAGAGTCTATACTGTACTCCCCGATAATCCCTACGCACGTACCAAAGCCGAGAGGGTACCGAAGGGTATTATTCAGGGACAAGATGCGGGCAAGTCCTATGAGGAAGCTCGAAAAGAATGTCGGCGGGCTGTCGATCGCATTGTGAAAGAGTGCGAGCGACTAAACCAGAAATATACAGACCCGCATTTCGATATAGAAGTTGATCTCAAGTCAGGAAAGAGGAACTGCCTGGATACACTCGAGGAGGAAAATATGGAGATGCGTCCAAGGGGCGTGAAGAGAGTGACAGTAAGTTATGCAGTACATGCCGCTGCGATCGAAAGATGGCTGTGATCTGACAGGCGCTTTTAGGAAATATTTGAGAAACCACGGTTCTTTGTGAATGGACCAACTGCTTCCGACGTGCGCCAGGGTCGCGATGGTGATTGTTGGTTCATGGCTGCCCTCTGCACAATGGGCAATAAACATGGCTTGATTGAGCAGATTTGCGTAGCCCGGGATGAGAAAATCGGTGTCTATGGGTTTGTCTTCTACCGAGGTACGTCATATCTTCTGTCAATCATTTGCTGATGTAAACGACACTTACACTTGCCAGATGGTGAATGGCAACAATGTATCGTGGATGACAAATTGCATCTGCGAGCGGCCGACTACGATGAATCAATAGATGAGCGACCAATCTGGGACGACATCAATCGGGCTGATACAGAAGAAGAGTATCGCAAGGTCTGGCAGACTGGATCACGAGCTCTGTACTTCGCTCGGTGTGTAGATGAGAACGAGACTTGGCTGCCATTGCTTGAAAAGGCTTATGCAAAAGCCCATGGCGATTTCTCAGCCATTGAAGGTGGTTTTGTGGGGTTAGTAATGTTGATACCTATCTAAGAATGCTATTGGAAACTGACATTGCGTAGGGAGGCTATTGAAGACTTAACTGGCGGCGTTACTTCCGAGATCTTGTCGAGCAGCATCCTAGACAAAGACAGGTTCTGGAAGGAAGAGCTTATGAAAGTGAACAAAGAGTTCCTCTTTGGTTGTGGCACCGGCCTGTTCTCTAACTGGCTGGACCCAAAATATCGCGGCCCTCCAAGAGAAAGAAAGGGTATATCCGAGAACCATTCGTACTCCATTATGGACGCAAAGGAGATTGATGGAGAGCGCTTGCTTCGTCTAAGGTAATTCTATCCAAGATTGTGTCACTGCATCCCTAGCTGATCAGTCTAGGAACCCTTGGGGTAAGAAAGAATGGACGGGCGCATGGAGTGATGGGTCAGAGCAATGGACACCCGAGTGGATGGAAAAACTAGGACATAAATTCGGTAACGATGGTGTATGGTTCCTTGAATCTGGCATACTACTGGATGCATGCTAAACAACACATGTCACAGTTCTTCTGGATCTCCTACAACGACCTTCTGAAAAAATATCAGCATTTCGATCGCACCCGTCTGTTTGGCCCCGAATGGTCAATCGCACAGCAATGGACTACCGTGAATGTGCCATGGTCTGCCGACTACCACAGCACTAAGTTCATGGTGAACGTGACCAAAGCAGGCCCAGTAGTGCTTGTCCTCTCCCAAGTAAGCCCCTGCACCCTGAGATGCATGACTTGCAAGAAATCCCGCTAACATGAAAAAGTTGGACTCGCGCTACTTCAGGGGACTAGCTGGTGAATACGGCTTCGTCCTCAAGTTCCGAGTGCAAAAGGAAGGCGAAGATGACTATATGGTCCGTAGCCAAACCAGCCACCTGATTAGTCGATCCGTGAACGCAGAAGTCGATCTCGAGCCTGGCCGCTACCATGTACTGATGAAAGTCACGGCGTACAGAAACGGCGAAATGGAGTCGACCGAGGAAGCGGTAAGCCGTTTAGCACCGGTCAAACGAGAGAAACTCGTCCAGATCGGTCTCTCCTACGATCTGGCACACGCCAAAGGCATGGTAGCCGAGTCAGAGGATGAGAAGCGGGCACGCGAGGAACTAGAACATCGTCGCAAGGCAGCAGAGAGACAGAAGCAGATCGAGGCCACCAGGAAAAAGTTGCAAAAAGAATGGATTCGGGAACAGAAGATGACCGCCCGGAAGCAGAGAATGGCAGAGAGGCTCTCTGCAAGAAACCACAGCAACGCTGTTAGAAACAAAGCCATCGAGCAGATTCTCACTGACGGCCCAGTACAGTCTCCGGTAGAACTGGGCAGCGGTTCAGGTGATGGCTTTGGTACGAAGCATACAAGGAATGGCAGTGTGCCAATCATCCAGTGCAACGGGGTTCATGTTTCTGAAGCCGAGATCATCGGGAAAGGACAGTCGGTACAGTCGACTCTAGACTCCACGTACTCAAGCCTCTCGTCGTACCATGAGGATCTGGACATGTTGGAGGGATTCGAGTTTGATCCCGACCTTGATATGGCCCCCGAAGAGGCAGCAGAACCGAAGCCTGCACATATGACATCCAATGGCTGTCTGGAGGAGACTACCAGTGACCCTTGGAACGCCGTATGTGTCGTGGGCTTGCGGGTCTACTCCAAAGATCCTCAGTTGTCGCTTGAAGTGGTCCGTTCTGTGTCTGAGGGAGACACTGGTGCGGCGCTTGATATGGACGATCCCCTGAAGAGTGCTTCCTTTAGTCGACTGGAAACCAACTAATTCTATGATCTTGGATAATCAAAATCGGGGGTTTTGGCGTCTTAGCGATTGATAGCAATGGTGTTTCACAAGTAGAGCCATCACGTGGATAGATTGCTATTTTAGTTCTTCATCCATTCATTATTCATCATCATCATCATCATCTCATTGCCATATTTTGTCATCACTAATTTAATAGCATCAGCATGTCATGAAACCAGGATTTCAACCCCCCATACCCAAGTACAACTTCTCCAAGCCCGTTAAAACAAATATAGCCCAAACGAGAGGCCCTGCTAAAGGCTGGGACAACAAAATGAAAAGAAAAGTAAACCAAGCATCCTCTGCACGCCCTCTATGATAATTGGGTCCTCACTAAGAGTTCTGGATCTTCTTTGAATTCGGAGCTTTTGACCATATCCTGCATCGGGGCCAAGTCACGTTCTTCAAGGGCACCTGGCTTGCCAGGTTCAGGTTCGGAGCCATCATATACTCCAGCCAGGAACTTCATAAAGACTTTCAGATACTGGACCATTCTCCCTTCTGGCATATTCCTCAGCACCTCTGACAGGATGCCGGGTGCGTAGTAGGGAAGAATGGCGGTACCATCTTCAATGCCATTTACAGTGAGTCCCTTCACCAGATCCGTTTTCGTAGAAGATGGCAACTTCGAAAAAGCATTGTGAAACTGCTCCGCCTTTTCCCTTGTCTCCACTCGCCCCATACAAAGAAGTCGAAGAAGCGCACGTTGTTCCAAGTTGTTGGTAGTTAATGAAGCGAACCCATCGGCCTTCAGAATATCAGCACGGTAAGCCAGGTACTCGTTGTAGCATTTGGGCCAGTCTGGGTTTCCCATCTTGCGATATTCATCTAAGAGCTCGATCGCCTTTATATAGTGACTGAATATCGGTTGCGTCATCACAATGCACCCGCGTGGGTCACTATGTGCAGCAGCCCCTCCCACGTCCAGCAATGTTACCATAGCCTTGATATCGAATGCATCCTGAAGCCCTTGGCCATCATCTAGAGCAAGCATGCTGTGCGGGACTGTTTCCCCCTGGACTATTTGCGAAATATCAAGTTTCGAGCCGATCCTCAGGCTCTGGACGATAATATTTTTCTTAACTAGGTCTGTGATTGTTTCCAATGCGGGCACGAGTTTCATCTTCACGGCTTTGAGCAGCACTTCCCCGTGGTTCTTTTCTGGGATTCCCACCCTCTCCGCAAGAGCTTTGTCCTTCCCGATATCGTCAATCGCAATTGCAACAATAAGAGCATAAATATCGTCTGGTGTATGCAATCGAGCGCGAAAGAACTCCCGCAGCTTCATGAAAGAGCCCTGCTCGAGCTTCCTGTCATTTTGGCCGCTCGTGAACGTCTCATAGTCGCCCGCCAGCACCCATTTGATGGCCAACATGCTGGTTAGTGTTCGGTTCACTTCGTGGAAATCCTCCCCGAAAACGCTCTGTGATGGTGTCCACTCCCATTTCTTCGTTGCACCGGATTCCACGGTTGGGCTTGCATTCTTTAGATGGTTGAGCTCAGTCTTAAAGGCGTCTTTGAAGAGATCGAGGACCTCATCGTCTGATTTGGTGATAAATTTGTCCTTTCCAACAATTTCAACAAGAGACTCGTTTGGGTCGGCCATACTGAACAATATCTTGAGGCAATCCTCTCTGCACGAATTTTTTTTTAAAAAAAATAAATAAATAAAAACGGGTTCAGCGCCACGATAAATAGATAAATGGACCGGGACGCCTCGAGAGGAGAGGCTGAGCTGATATAGAGAGGGTCATTGCCCAGCCGGAGGCTAGCGTATTTTTCACAGGCGAATAAATTCTGTGAAGAGGCACTGCTAGAAGTAACAAGGTTCTAGGAAGGTTCCAAGTGCGATCGGTAACTTGCAAGGGGGGCATTGAAACCAGGAGAATGCAGTCCCCTGTCCTTGTGTCCATACAACGGAGAGAGTGAGCTAGTGACATCATCCCCTTTATTAAGTCCGTCCCTTGGTCCCATCCACGGAACTGGACAGTATCTCAACATCCATTATTTCTATTCTGGAATACAACTGTGGGGAACCTCCGCTATCCGTTATGCCTCGTTGAAAGTAATACCCATGTCGAAAGAGAGTTCCCGCGACCGTTCGTTCAGCCTCAACTTCCTTTGTATACGAGACACGGAGTCATGGTCATGCACTGCGCATCGCTATCCCTTCGCCTGTCACACGGCATCTTGCATTCAGGTTTTACAAGAGCACAGGGCTCGTCTCATCTTCATGTCTCAGTCATTCATTTCCCGTAGGTATCACCGGATAGTTACTTATCCTTAAAGTAAGCAACCCGTAACCCCCAACATCAATGACCCGAGACTAACGAAAGACCCAGTATAACACAACCACCATCCTCACCTCAAAGCCATGCAAACGTAATCATCCATCTACCACCAGACCCTTTATTCGAGGACCCCAGTCCGACACCACACGATAAAACCACCGGAACCGCGTTAATCCAGACACCACAATCGTAACAATCAATTACTGTCCAGGCCCGAGAAATCCAAACCGCAGCCCCAAGAAAGAACCCACGCGCCACTACTCAACCCCAATCCACGACACCCCCACCAGCTCTTCGACTGGACCCAGCGGAGCCTCCCAGCCCGTGCGCTTAGGCATCCCTAGGCATCCACATCGGCGGCTCTCTGGAATTAATGCTAGCGCTTACAGAAGCACAGTCGATCCATACAGGAGCAGCGCTCGAGCCGGTCTGTGATTGGACGGCGCTAGACGAGTTGCTGCGCCCGATTTTTCAATCTACATCAACAACCGCAGTAGTACTGTGGCGAAGGCCTCCACAGGATTTGCTCACCTTGCTTGACGCACGAAAGGGATGTTTTTAGCTCCTCCGGAAACGTTATTCTGATGCGTTCTCGTCACCGCTTCTCTTTACTACGATCGCCTGGGAAGGATGGTCCGGAATCGTTTCCCGAGTATCTTACTAAACTACGATATCCGAGTCCTGACCTAAGAGGGAGAGTTGGGCGATTGCTGCTGACTCTGGGGGAGTTGTGGGTTTTGGACGATGAACGGGCTCTTCACGAATACGAACTCTCGGGGCCTCGTACTCAACCTAATTGTGGTTGTGATACTGAGTTGAAATACCCTCCCGGTCGTGGCAAGGCCCTTTGAGGATGAGATTAGACTACGGCGGTAGCCGTGCGAGGTGACTTCCACTTCGCCGCAGTCGACCCACTAAAAAGCTACAAGTGACTTTACCCTGGGCATGACTCTTCGTTCGCGAAGGCGGGCGATTGTCTCCGGGATACGGTGATCATGAGCCAAGGCGAACTGCTCCCGGCGCTCAGTGCTGTGCCAAGAGGGTCACGATATGGTCGAGGCCATGCGTTGGATATGCTTCTGGGGTGACGAGGAAAGCCTCGGTGAGGAGCTAGCTACGCTGCGTGACGTCCCTTCTGAGATGTAGTCTGCCTCTGGACAGAGCAGGGCTAGGGAATAGGTGGATGGTATGTTGCGAAAGGGGGATCATGGGACGTGCTAACCAACGAACCCAATGATATTTGAGGATCAAAGGCGCGCCAAAGAGTGATGAGACATTATAAAAAAAAAAAACAAGAAAGGAAAACAGCAAAAAGTGATGAGAATGCTCCCACGCGGATTTGAACCGCGGACCTCATGATTACTAGTCATGCGCTCTACCAACTGAGCCATAGGAGCTGTTCTTGAAAAAATAATTTTCATTAAGCATATATAATCTACATTGCATGAAATAGAAGTCTCATCATGTCCGTTTTTGTGCCATTATTACTAGCCGAAGAACCACCTTACCTTTATTCCAAAGCTCCAAGGACGACCGAGAGAGAAACCCGGGTGTAGAGGAGGATATTACAGCACTTATATTGGGAAGACAGAAAATACGCAGAAATCCAATGCGCTTATATACGGCCTGCGGCCTATTTGAGATCAGGCACCATGTCTCGAGATGTGTCAACACATATTACTTTCTATATTATAATATCTATAAAGAAGATCCCCCGAAGGTGTTCCCACCTGGAGCATCCCACCAGGGCTCAATGTCGGAAAGACTAGGCAATGTAGGGTCCTCCCCGAAGGTATTGACGTTACCAAGTTGGGAGAAACTACTATCTCCAAAATTTCCCGAGAGCAACTGCAAGTCCGAATTGCGAATCCAGTCGAACTCCCCAGGCACCCCAATTTGCTGAGTCGCGTCGAGGGGGTGTTGCCCAGAAGGTTGCAGCTGCGGCTGTGGTTGGCTAGGAATGGCGTTAGTACCCTGTGATGTCGCTGTCACAGAGACTGGATAGTTGATCTGGTTTTTTGGGGCAGTGATTCGCGTCTTCTTCCTGGAAGCATCTGCGCCTGAGCCTAGGCCTACTAGATGTTGCGATGATGGCCGGTTGCTTATTTGACGCTTCAAAGCTGAACCTGACCTGCGCATATGGGCCTGCCACCTTCGTTGTAGACTCACCAGGAAGTCACGAGTCCGTTTGGCATTTTCGAACGACTGGCCCAGCTCGTCTAACGCACGGAAACAAAGATTCAAGTAAGCAACCATTTCTGCATTGTTATTGCTTCCATCGCTGGGACTTCTGCCAGAAGTGGAAGTGTTTGAAATTGTGACGTAAAGGAGCATCAAAGCCGCGCTAAATATGATGGCCACAACTTGGTTGTTCATGCGACGGAATGTATAAAATTTCTCGTAGATATGGAGCAGCCGTGCGATCGCCGTCGAAGACTCGATGCACATTCGCCGAGCATGGTGATAGCCCGGTCCCTGACGAGGAGCACGCGGCTGGATGTAACTTTTCGAAACCCAAGGTCTATGCGTGAAAATCACAATTTGGTGGTATTGCATGCTGCACTCAAGTTAGCTTATGCATTCGATGAGATTCGTATTCCGACAGAATGCATAGACATACTGAAGCATTAGAAGCTGGGGTAGTTGAGGAGTTGTATCGTTATCAAGTTTAATATCTAGAATAGATGGCAAACTTGCTTTCCAGGCAAACAAGTCATCTGTTACCCTATGGCACAACCTTTGAAGGTCATGCCGCGGGATATCGGAGCAACCATACCTGCACCGCGTTAATACACATAATGAAAAAGAATAGCCTTATACCATGCTTTCAAGAAATTGAGCGCTCACAAAATATGACCAACGGGTGAGATTATCTCCCATAAAACGGCAAATTGTCTGCTGATCAATTCATTTGGATTCCTTAGACCATGCTTCAGGATGTCCGATTTCGTTGGAAGTCCATAAGGATACCATGTACTTTCTTTCTCTGCGTCTAAATTGGACGCAAGCTTGGGGACGGTAATGTCTCCCGCATTCATTCGAAATGGTCTTCCTAGATAAAAGCCCCAGAAACTATAACGATGTCAGACCTTTGAGACATGCCGTTACCGGTCAAGCAAACATACTGATCGGCAGTGTAACTTCCCCAGAATGCTATTCTCCGCACGTCAGCTTCAAATGCACCTATTTCTCCTTTCTCAACATATGGTGTCATGTCAATATGTAGTCCAAGGTCAAACGCGAGCCTTGTGGACATCCCTAAACCAGCATCAGCGTCGTATGCATCCAATATTCAGCATTTCCTACATACCACTATACAGCCACCCACGAGCATCACGATTCGCAGAGCCTTCATGGCAACTCAGAATCACAAGCGCCTGTACTGTGGCAACACAGGGAGAGTCCAGCTCAATCTCTAGAAGAGCTTTCGCCCTGTCTGCGAAGAACTCTGACAAAGATTTGGGGAAAGTGATGAATGTAGGGTGATATCTTGCTTCAAAAGCACTTCCAATAGCACACCTAGCTTCTCGTTAGTCTGCATACCACCGGGTTTCTGACATGAAACATACATCGCGTTCGTAAGAACTTCCGAATAAAATGGCGTGTCATCATACTCATTCCTCCACTTCGATCTAGCAATCATATACATATCCTTATCGACCACATAGGTGCTTGTATTCTGCCAAGTGAAATACAGCTCCACAAGATGGTCTTCAAGCGCTTGGTCAACGGGCTGTCCAACTCGTAAATGGTTCAGGATGTCCTGTCCATCATGGCGGACTGTGCGCGCATCAGGACGTTGGCGCTGTTGGGTCGCAGAAACGTCTACCAGGTTGAGGTTCGACGTCGCTCCATAAAAGCGCAAGTGGCCATCGCCCGCAATTTTTAGAGTACCAATGCGATTTGAAATTTGCTCGATAACGTCCTTCTCCGCCTCATCTTCGTCGCCGCTGTCTGATTCATACTCTCTATCGTAACGCGCTTGCCTGAGCAGCTCTCCGGGCTGCTGTTGCATATCTGGAGTCAACTGCAGACTTTCCGGGCTGAGACTGTTTTCCTGAGAAAGACTGGTACCGTCATTTAGATTGGCATAGATCGTGTCCAAGCTCTCCGCCGTTGGAAGTGTAAAACCCCAATTCGCAGGGACGTAATGACTGGTGGGAATCGAGTTGATCCCGAACGAATTTACTGTATCTCGGCCTTTCTCAGCCGAAGGAACGAGTTTTTGATTAGGCAACGCATTCTGTGACAGTGAAGAAATCCCCCGGGGACGCTCATTTGCATCCGGCACAGCTGAGGGGCTGCTGTGCGCGGGTGAATGCGCAACAACTTTTTGCGGAAGAGAGGCCATCTCGTTAGCTACGCTAGTTTCTCTTTTCTTCGCTAGCCCGCGAGGGATCTGTAGCGTATCCAAAACTCTATTAACCCCCGCCTCATCCTCGGGTTTCATTGGGGGTGGTTCCAGCCCATGGTCATAAATGAACTGGCACAGTTGATCTATTCGAGCAGAGAATAGCTCTGTGGCAGCACGAAGAGACACCCTGGAGTAAAGCTAGTCAGCGCCTTTCTGTGGTGCGCGAGCATAGATCACAAGCTTTGCCTGCCTTCTCGAGAACGCGAGATCTGATGTGCTCAAGACACGAAATGTATTTCCAAATTGACCAGCAGAAGACATAAGATGAGCTGAACATACTTCCGTTTGTCATCGCCGTGTTGGTATTTACAGTCTTTGCCCTTCCTTTCACAGTTATGGCAATGTGGAGTAGCTCCGTCGCACTGGTCAAGAGCCGTCAGTTGTTGAATACAATATAGGTCATGTGACGATCGATGAAAACAGCTTGAACAAAATCGCCCACGTACCCTGATCTTGCTCTCCCGGCAAGGTACACATGCCGTAGTGACATGTTTGCGAGGCGCCCTCTTGGGCTTCTCTGACAGAGGCTCCATCGCACCGGTTAGTGTGGCGGGAAGCGTGGGGGAGACGAAATGTTCTCCGGTTTTCAGAAGCAACCGGGGAGGCTAATTCACGAAATGAAGAGAAATCATGGGTCAGCCGACATCTACAGAGGATGGCTTAGCAGAATACATGTCCATAGCAAGATCTGTGGGAATGATGAAGTCGCTCAGCATGGCAGCGCAAAAAGTTGCTTGGTCCTTGGTTCCTGGGGAAGTCTGGAAACGATAGGAGCTGGTGGCTTCTGACTGGGCGGGGAGTGGCCCCACTTCCACCCCAGAGTTGCCCTATGAGACTCGACGCAACACTCATCACTACCCACCTGAGGTAAAATTTCCCGCTCTCAGCTGATCCATTGCAGTGCCTTACGTTCAATAGGCATTGAAGATGGATAAATACTAGTTACACACATGCTCCCATTATACGAACATTGATCATAATGATATTAATAGCTAACACATCCAGGCGCTCGACTCCAGGCGCAACACCGGGCAATCCGTAAAGAGCTCAAGAGCTAGCCCGACATTACCAATTGCTGGTGCGCTTAAGTGCCTCGTTCTGAATCACTTCGATCCAGTATCCATCGGGGTCCAGCACAAAGGCCACGTTCTTCATCCGGCCGTCAGTCAACCGCTTCTTCCAGTTCACATTCAATGATTCGAAGCGATCACAGGCGGCATTGAGATCGTCAACAGAAACGCCTACACCAAGTATGGCAGTGTCAGTGGTAAGAACTCATCTAGCTCTATGATGACCTCGGCAAAGAGCAGGTCACTTACAGATATGGCCGAAACCTTGTGGCTCAGCGTTGCCGTTGTGGTAGACAGGCCCTTCTTGCTTCTCCGTTCCATAGTTCCAGGTGAGCTCGAGCAAACCTTCCCACTCGGCCACGGGATTCTTGGCGTCCTCCAGCACTTTGGGGTTCCCGGCAGCGTATCCCAAGAAATAGAGATTGAAGCCGGCATCCTTGTTCTCAGAGGTTCGCAAGAGGGTCATGCCCATGACTTCTTGGTAGAATTTCAAACTTGTCTCTGCGCACTTCACGCGGAGCATGCTGTGGTTGAGTCGGTAGCTGGCGGTATCGGTCGTCGTACCCACATCCTCGTTATGACGGCGGATAATCTCGACCCAGTAACCATCAGGATCCTTGGCGAAAGCAATGTGCTTCATGCGTCCATCAGTGAGCTTCTTCTGGAAAGGATAGCCAGCGTCTTCAATTCTCTTGCAGGCCGATTCGATGTTGTCAACAGAGATTGCAATATGACCAAAGCCGCGATGGGGTTCCGCGTTTCCGTTAGCTACGCTGTAGTTGGGGTCATTCTCTGTGCCATAGTTGTGGGTGAGCTCCAGAACAGCGTTGCGGTCCGTCCAGTGACGGTCACCCTGCAGGGACTTGGGGCCGTTGTATGCGAGGAAGTAGAGCGAAAACTTGTTTTCGGGGAAATCGAGCTGTTGAATCTGAGTAAGTCCGAGGAACTTGTAGAATTCCACTAGAGTAGAAGATTTGGTAAGCGCCAGTATTTAAGCCAGCAATGACGCCATGGTGCAGGGATACTCACGGGACTTCTTCGGGTCCTTGACCCGGATCATGGTGTCTGTTCCGGCAGAGCCATTGTCAGCCTTTCATTCGTATTCCATGGATTGAAAACCGACTAACGATTGAGCTTATACTTGGAAGTATCCGTCGCCATGGTTGCGAGATATCTATTGGTTCCTGCATCGATTTGTAAGTAGCTGAAGACCACCAGTGGGGTAAACCTTAGCCTAAGCTTTGGCATGGAGACCTACCTGATAAGATAGAAAACCTTAGGTTGAGGACCCTGGGAGAGGATGTGCGAAAGGAAGGAAGAGCACGAAAAGCAAACATAGGGAGAGGGGTAAGAGGGGGAAGGGAAAAAAATACGCGCGGTGTTACTATTGCTTAGTGAGCGGCGTGAGGGGAGAGAGAACTTGAAGTGGACAAGGTGGGGACGCCCTATGACGCGGTGGCACTCCATTGAGTATTGTCTTCATAAGATGGAAATTTCTTCAACGAAGTGCTTTTAGACTAGGGTATATGAAGAAGTATCAGAGTCTGCTTATGCATTTATTCACTAAACTTGTGATTTGCCTGCTGGTCGAAGTTTGAAAATGAAGGAGATGATAAAGTATATAATTGCACGTGATTATTACCTCTAAGGAATCAGAGATTGGATACCTGTCAAGCAAATACGGCCCGTGAGTGGTCCAGCTACTATTATTTATGCTTTCTATTTACGTAGTATTTAGCCAGCTAATAATTGGGCATCAACTTCTTGAGCCTCTCGATATGACCTGGCGTATATATCCGAGGATCTACAAGAATAAGCGGGTTATAAAATGTCGAGTGTTTCTGAGACACGCGTCAGGGCAAGCCCCAAAAGACGTTCCCTCGTATAACTTCAAGTCACAGTCCTCGAGTGGAATGGATGTGAGATCATAGCGCACGATATATATTGCCAGGACAGATAAGTATGACTCAAACCGAGCAATACGATTTGATCTTCGTATTGTGGGACTAAACTCTGTGAATGGTAGGACTCCCCGTGGGATTTGATAGTAGTTAAACACTCTTGTATGAGGGACACTACTCCGTAGAGATTATATTGACAAATGCTAGTATGTAAATCGAGCTGGAGCCAAAGGGCTATACCGGTTTGGGAGCAAAGGCGGTGGCCTGATAGGGAAGGGGACAATGCCCAATCGGGTGATGACATGAGCGTTCATTCATCCATTCATTCCTCTTGTTTGCTCTTCAACTACTACTCCTTAGTATATACTACATACATACTATCCTATCCCCTACTTTCCTCGGAGTTTACGTCGAGGTATCTAGATCCAGTCTGCCGCATTTGCCGGCCATAATCTGACCAAATTGCGGCCTCCGATACCTAGTCCAAGTGCTGGTCGAAGTCTTTCCCCATCAAGGTTTGTTCGCTGTTCTTTGTTGATTCCCTCAAACTTCCCCCGAACGATCTTCGTCGGCTTAGATCACACGCGACTGGCGTGGATTCCGTTGCTTGCTTTTTTTTGGTGGTCCTGTCCAACTGCACCTCGCATTTTTCCTTGCCTACCCAACCCGTCCTGCATCCCCCACGGTTTACTTTCCCCACGTTTGCAGAGATCGATGTTGATCAACCTGTGCCCACAATGGGTTGCGCGGCATGGTGCCTAGTCATGGAATGGGTGCGTCAGCCCATTTCCTGGCTTCGTCCTCTCCTCGAACTTAACTACTTTTGTGCCCCTGATCGTGTGGTGCGCTATACACCGTCTAAGATTAGCTTCCCCCCCCGTACATTTTAAAGACTGTCATCCCCATACCCTTGCGCTTCTAGATTCTTCTAAGCCGCTTTTGGTTGCACTACTTGCCCTGCTATCCCTAGGCGCAAATGGCTGAGTATCAACTTTCAGTTCGATTTGGTTATTCCTCTAAGGAATCCGCTGCTCTTTACGAAGCAGAACACCGTCCATATTGGGCACAGAGCCCGGTCAAGTACGCCCAAAACCTCTTAGAGTACTCAGACGAGCCGATCGAGTACGATCACCACGACAGTGATTACTCAGACAACTGCTTCTTCTTTCCTGAGGACTGTTCTTGGTCACCGCCTCGCGACTGGATCCTTGAAAAGGAAGAATCCGAAGACGATACCTCCAACAGCGAGGACTACGACACCATGATTCCTGGTCTTCCCGATATCAAAATGCTCGATGCGGAGGCCCTCAGTGACTTGCTGGAGGATAACCTCTCCCCCCCGGAAATCACCACGATTCTGTACGGCATATCGTGATCACTTTACCCCCTAGTATTGTGCTAATGGGTCGTCATCCTTGTAGAGTATTTGGTACTAATGGTGCCATATTTGCGTACGCCTCGTCTCTTCCATCCCGGCAGCTGCGAAATTTGAGTGCAACATACGGGGCCGCTTACACAGCCTACGCAAAGAACGCCTCAAGTGGTAACCTGACGGGTGTAAATCCCGCCAGCCACCCATCATCATATGTGACAGCCCAATCTGTCTCTCTCGGCGACGTAGGGTCTATTGTCTTCGAGCTCGACGAGCTTGTCGCCGTAGTCACCAGAATAGCGGATAAAGTGCTCCTTGCCGCCGTTGGACCGTCCAAACTAGAGCCCGAAGGAGAGACAGGCCCTTCAAATGGTGCGCAGAATGGCTCCATGAACCCCAGTGCGGACGAGTTCCCCCTGCATGAGCCTAGAACAGGCACTAACGGTACATCCACCAACCAAACTCCCACCAACGGATCCCCCAACAGTATCAGCCGAACTCACAGCGAGGCCAACATGCAATCAGATGCGCAACTTGAAACGCAGTATGAAATCGACCGAAGTAATGACCTCGCGCGATTGGCAAGCCTAAACCTCTCATCCTCGCCGTCCATTTTGCTCGCTCTAGAGTCAAAATCTGCAGCATTAGGCAAATTCCTCAGTCAGAAATTGGAGGATCTTGAGAGTCCCGAGGACTTCTAGGCTTATGCCACCATCGCTATTTTCTTTGCCTAACCTTTAGTTTTCTCAAATTGCTCTATATTACTTTTCTTCATGAGCCGTACGAGCTTCTTGTTATTTAGCCTATGATTCCATTTTCGATCGATACTCCCGTCTTGAAGCGCCTTCTCATTCAATCTTGTGATTTATTAGGGCCGTGTTCCGATTTTTTGTCTGGACAGAGCAGAAATTGTACCCAGAATTACTCGACTTAGTGGACCCAGCAAGCATTGTTCGACCAATCGATTATTATGAACAAATTAAAGTTTTTACAGCAAGAAAGAAATCCAGGTATCTAACCTATAGCAATTTGCTAAGTGGTTAATAGAGAACGGGAGAACAATAGCGTTTTGAAAAGAAGGGATATCGCTGAATCTCTGCTTTCAAGAATAGATTATATTATAGCAACCATTATAGACAAAATGTCCAACAGATATAGAAAAGTAATGGATTGACTTAGGCTTTGTCGCCGGTAGTGGCGGTTCCGCCTGGTGCAGTATAGAAGTGTCCACTGGCCGTGCTAGCGGTCCGAGACACTGCGGGGGGAGAGATTGGGGATTGAGCCGTTGCCTCGCTCGTAGCAGGCTGCGCAGGTTGTGCGGCCTGGGCTGCGCTTTGGGGGGCTGTAGCCTCGGCGGGGCTCGTTGCCTCATTTGCCTTCTCACTGTAAGCTGGGGGGTGGGCGACGGCAGGGCTTGCCGGCTGGGAGGATGTGGCGGCAGCGGCGGCGGTATGCATCGGGCCACGGGTGCAATCCTTGATGACGGTCCACCATTTCTCGGCGTCGTTGGCGGTGTGCGCTTTGAAGCTCAATTCAGTGGTGGTGTGGAAGGCGTTGCCGACCTTGCTGCCCGAGACATCCTTGCCTTTCACGCTAAACTTGACGCCGTCGATCGCGCCAATGACACAGTCGGGAAGGTATAGGGACAGCTCTGGAGCCGGATCGCGGCGGAAGTCGTCGTCATCCTTGAACTCATGGAGGTACCGCGCGGGAGTTACAACGTAGTAGCCAGAGCTATAGCCCTTAAGCATGGCACGGGACTTGCGTTCCAGAGACCCTTCGATCAATGCCTTGGTTGCACGGTGATCCATGTTGGGAAAGGTGATGTTGGAGAGGGTCCTCGGGGGCGCATCCGGGTTGATAAGGACATCGTCATTCTTCGTGATGAAGTTGACCCACTCGAAATCAGGAGGGATTTTCTGAGCGGAACCCAGCATATCCTGATACATAGTACCCTGATTCTCGAGCTGGCCAGACATGATCTGGATGAATTGTTCCATAGCCCCCTGAACGGTCTGCAGAACATGCGCCTCGAACTGCTGGAAGTTATTCTGTACAGCAATGATATCCTTGCGGTTGTTGTTCTCCTCGATGATTTGCTTGTTGAGACGATGGTTGATACCCCGGCGCAAGATGTAAGGGTCATGATGCTGTTCAAGCTTGTTTCCTGCGGCAGCATCCATAGATGCGGCTTGATGGGCAAGGAGGTCAATATGCTTCTGGGTGACAGCTCGGGCCTTGTCCACAGCCTTTGCGCTCTTGGAAGCACCACTGGCAAGCTCCTTCGACTTGGCCTTGATCTCTTTATGAAGACGCTCCAAGGTTGGAGACACAGTTCCCTTCAGATTCTTCTCCGTCTCGAGGTACATATTCACCATTCCCTGTCAATGTATTAATGACGAGAGTAAAATTGGGAGAGGCGCAGCAGATTATACCTGAGTATTAGCGCGGATGTTCTCAAACATAGAAGCCACTCCGCCGGTGTTTTGGGAAAAGTGGTGGCCTTCCTTTAGGGGTTCACTGACAGTCTATTGCGATAAACACTGTCAACTTACTCTGAGCGTATAGGTAGATTGATGAATAATTGAAAGGGCGCCCACACACCTTGAGGACTTTCTCATAGTCCTTCGATTGCGACTTCTGTACCTTCGAAGTCACAGTAACATAGTCCTCCAGGTAACCACACATATGCTTCAAAGCGCGCAAACGCTCGTTAAGTAGGTTTGTAGTCTACCAAAACTTGTACGTTAACATTTGTCCACGAATAAAATGACCGCAAGGCATATCTAGGTGTACCTCGCTGCTATCAGAATCCGGAATGGCCTCATCATCGCTCATGGAGGCTCGGCGGTCCGGAGCAATGGAACTCGTGAGGGTTGACGACCGATGAGGGAGCTTCTGCTCCACGGGACTGGTTGGAGTAGACATGGTGGTGGGGTGAATGTGCGATGCGCGATGTCTGCAGAAGTTGTGCCACAGAACAATTCAGCAGCAGGATAAATAACGGAAGTAACTATCGCTGTGGAGGGAGCCGGAACCGCCAATGAATTAAGCCGAGACTATAGGTACCGTTATTCGTCAGTGGCTCCATTTTCGATTTCGTCAAAGTGAGGGGAGAAGTGGGTCACGCATCTTCCGCAAAATGTGCAGGTGGGAGATTGAAATGCTAAACACTTACCAAGTCCAGGAAATTCAACTGGAGAGAAACCGGGTTTGGATCGCCAGGATATCCCGTGGAGAAGGGAGAAAAGGAACAAAAGAAAGGGAGATAGGAGGGAGGACGTCAAGGACTTATTAGGTGGAAGAAAAACGACGGCCGCCAACGATGAAGTCACCGACCGCTTCCTTAGCGTTTTTTACCCCTCAGCCCAATCTTCTCACAATCTAGTCCACCCAATGCGGTGGGATGCTTGTCCCAGGAACACATGTCACATCAAGGGAGCTTTTCTGGTTCCCAGAAATTCGAATTACCTTGCTTTGACCCAATTGACCCGATTAGAACTGTTGATCTTTCCGTCATGATAATACTCTCTCGAATGTCTAGAGTATGCCCATACAGGCTGGAAAAACAATCAGTCCACACAATTGGAAACTGTATCACGCGTAACTAAGCCCGATCCAACAAATGGAAATTGCCTAAGATCGAGATTCGAACGACGCCGACGTGGACAGTGTGGCTCGAACGGTCTTCATGGATTGAACTATCCGAAAGAAGACAAAGCGCGAAGGCTCAGCCACAGTTCGGTGGCGAGAGCTGAAGAACTATTGGGGACCTTTTGCATGAGTCTCCACTCCAATCAACTCATGGCATGATCGGGGAAATAGATTCTCCAGTATACAGTAAATCTTGAGTTCAGCTATGTTCAGCTTTGAAAGGGTGGATAGATTTTACCGTCACAACTCTAATCCTATCCTGCAAGTATCGAGAGGGAAATGATAAGTATCAAGTGTCTGAAAAAAAAAGTCGCCATAACTCATGCTTGTCATCGGCCTGCAGCCGTCCCATGCCCTGTAAACCCAACCCATCTATCGAGTATAAACGCCAGTAAACAAATCCATACCGTCCCACATCTATAGATATATGAATAAGAAAAAGAAAGCACCCAGGAGCACCCAATACCCGGTCTAATATAGATACAAAACGAAGTGAGATACATGCTTTTCTTCTATCGTGAAATTAGGAGAGTCTCTGAATGTAGCACCTCTCAGCGTCCAGCGCCGACAGTACCGTAGTCATCATGAATGCGCATGACCGGAGAGTTCCAAGTTCCCCTCCGCTATGCAGGTGGAGCGGCCTCTGTCCTGAATCTAGACTCGAGCCCGGGCCTGAACAAGTCGCAGTCTTCGGTCCTCATCATCGTGACTAGTGGACCGAGAGTGACCAAGGCCCGGCCGATGATGAAGAATGTCCAGGGAAGAGAAGAGTTGGCCAGATCCGCGCCCGACATTTCGGATATGGGCTTGCTGAGGTGACTGGAGAGGTGGCAGGACGGGGATGTCTTCCGCAACGACGGCATCATAATCTGGCAACTCAGAATCATGGGGACGGACAGTGGTACGGACTGCGGTCGAATAACTTGGAACACGGCTCAAAGTCTCCACCTCCGCATACTGAGGATGGAACGGCGTGGCCATTCCAGATGGAACATGCTCATGGTCAACTTCATCAGAGGGTCGCCGCGAGAGCACCGGGCTTGAAGGGCTGTGAGAATTAGAACCCGATGATGGTCCAAAGTAATCTGCAGGAACTCCTAGACGCCGGTGTTCGCTGTCGTTCTGAGGCTCATGATCGGTGGGCGACGGCTGATGGGGTCGAGTGATATTGAGGTTTGAGAGATTTGATAGACGGCTGTGTAGCGCAGAAGCGGAGATGTCGGTGTTCGTCAAAGCATTCATAGAAGCGAGGTTTTCAGCAGAGAGATTGCGGCTTAGAGTGCCAAATGGTGTGCCGGGACCACTTCCAGGCCCCGGAGTACGGTAACCATTAGGGTCAAGCTCGCTATACAACTGGTCAAACCGATGCTCGCCGTACAACGGGGGTGCCTGTTGAGCAATATCGTTGACTGCTCGTTGAGCGGATTGCGGAGTCTGGTCGATTAGGTTATTGTTCTCGTCGATCGCAAGGTTTGGAGAAATAAATATCGACACTGGAAGCGTAGCTCGCAGCTGTAATAAACAGTCAGAACGATCATTATGGCGAATGAGTGGGGAATGTCATACCTCGCTAATGTGACCATCTGGATTCATCAATTGAACGCGGAACTTCAGCTTATGCCTAACCTTAATACCCTTCGTATCCGTATCTTGCAGACACCGTGTCAGGGTTTTAGGGAGATCCAAATAACGTGAGAACTGATAGCCCTCTGCCACTTCATCGATAATTTCCAAGGCATTGTCGTGGTCCAACTCAAACTCGTCGTTCAAGATGGTTCGCGTGTTCTTGTATGTATTGCGAATTGTGTCAGGATCTTCAGGGTTGAGGGTGAGATCATGGCTCTCGATAAGTTGAGAGACGATCTGGCCGATTGTAAGACCTTTGAGTAGTGGGATAAGTTTGAAGTCAACTCGGATGCTGGTTCCAAAAATAACCGCTTTTGTTGGTGTGCTGATCGAGTACTCGATCTTGTTGGGCCAGATATTCTCCACCGACTAGAGAACGAAGGTTAGTAATTCCATGTGAAATGATGCGCGGGGGAGGTGTCGCTCACCATAGCATGAGCAAGTTCGAGAGCACTAGGTTCCAATGTCCGAATGATACGCAATGGCTTCCGGACAACAATATCCTTCGCATATTTGCGACCTATTTCGGCTTTGAATCGGTATGTAATATAGGTATCGCTGAGACCCTCAATACTTTCGGGCATATTACCCTCCAAGACGAGATTAAAAGGATATTCATAATTGTCAGCAGGCAAAATTTCCGTTTTGCCTTTACCCGGATCTCTGAATTTCCATGTCTTTTCATAGATCACGCGCTCCCTCCACGATTTCCTCCCACCGCCAGCAGAACTAGATGGCAGATGCCAGCTAAATGCATTGGTCAGTTACCGGAATCCTCCCGGGAAACTCGGAAAACGCCACTTACCAAACTCGCGATATACCAGTGAGGTGAAGCCGAATATGCTTGATCGACAATGGCTCTGATAAGCAAAGAAGAAGCTTTCCACTCAAGTGTGCACTGGCAGCCTCTTGTTCTCCGCCGCGAAAAACAATATAATCTTCATCAAGACTGTAACAGAAAACGAGATGTGTTAGTCAATTCCGACATGGAACTCGGGTTTCCGGAAACGTCTGCGGCGGGATGTAACGCACCGGATATCGAAGTACTTCGCATGACTTGCACTGCCCCCACCACTGAAAAAACTTAGGGCCATGGCGTTTCTACTAACAGCCGCGAATAAGCAGCTGCCAGGAGATAAGTGAAGAAATCAAAAGAAAGCTCGAAAGGCAGGTGATTGAATAATGAGAAAGGGAGAAGAAGCCTGAGAGAGTTGAAAAGAAAAGTACCCAGGGAGCCGGTTGGTTAAAAAAAAAAAACGAAAAAGAGAGAAAAAAACTATGACACAAGATAACGGAAGGTTTTTCTTTTGGTGCAATTAGTATGGAGCCTGCGACTGATCGCCGGTCACTGTCCAGATTTACAGGCAAACCGGGTCACCAACGGGTCCCACCAAGAAGAGATAAATTGTTCGACAGTGGGGGGCACAGGAGCCGTTTCCGTCACCCTCGAAAAATTGGGCTTCGGAGTATCCTCTTTTGGCCCGGAGTGGCGACTGAGATGAGTATTTAGGTTGGGAGATGATGCGATCTGTTGGGTCGGGGTGACTAAGCTGGACGATAAAGATAGAAAAAGAACGGTAGGAGAGATGAGAGATGGAGAGGAGATTGTGTGCTAGACTTCGACGACGGTCAGTTTTTACTGGGATAAAAGGATTGACAGTCAAATTTATGTAAGAGATAGAAAGAGAAGGGTAGTCGGTATCAAGAGAATATATTTAAAGCATCGCGCGGGACCAAATGAAAGTGTGCTTGCTAGTATAGAGACAGTATGTTATAGCAGATAGGAAGGAACTAAAGGCAGGACCAAGGGAGCCCGGGCAGGCGGTAAGGCAAATACGTTACATCACCAAACATACCGGAGAATTTGTGGTGGACAGAGGGTCCCAGCTGTCATTGATACCTAGTAAGGGATGGTATGAAACCGATACGTTTGTGACAGGCTTTTTCCAGGGTAAAGGCTGATAAAAACTTGAAGTTAGGCGAGATAGCCGGCGGTATTTATTTAGATGGTCTTTGGTGCTCCTGTCTCCTGCAAGTCATTAGCATGAAAGATTATGACTCTTGCACCTTTCTGGGATCGCCGGGCTTTTAGTACCAAGACTCGGAAGGTTATCCTCATGCTAGTAAGATCGGCCGTAGGGCGGCAGTCGGCTTAGCCGGTGTGGGCGACGTATCACAAGGGAAACCCTTCGGGAACAACTATAGGAGGAATAATCGGAGGTGCGCTTGCATGATTTTGCTTTTTAATTTAATTTCCCACGTCCCGCAGGTACCTACGTACAACTATTACCAATAAGTTTCATCAGGCTACCATCAGCGACAGTAGGAATTCTGATATACACACCCTTACAGCGGGTAGCATGCAGCATGCAGGGTGTGCTACACAGCATCTGCCGAGTAATCTAGCACTAAGTACTACTACTACCTTTGCAGCTCCAGGGGGATAGTGGGATGATGTTCGTCATGGCGCTCATATGTGTGATCACACCCACTTGACGATCTGCTCATCATCGCCTGAACTCTATAAAGGAGGTACTTTTGCAGGGCAGTCTTCATGTGGATATTGATATCCGACCACTCTTGAACACGCTACAACTGCGGATTTGCGGTGGCCTGATATTCCGCTAGCCGACCATAACACAGTTGTC